ATTCTGCCGCCGCCACTTCTATTAATATTTATAGGTTATGCTAGTTACATGAAAGGACACATCTGCCCTTGGTATTTACATAACACAATAATATAAAACTGAAAAATAAATAACAACTAGAACAACAGTAGCTAACCCTAGGATGACTAGGAACATTCTGCCCTATGGACAGAGTGGGACCACAGCTGTGGGGCCCACATCAGTGTTCTCTACAAAAACATTTAACATATAAATAAATATTCATGAGTTGACGCATGTGCCAACACATGAGTCAAACTCAAGTATGAGAGTTGTCCTCCTTGGCAAGGCCTTACATAGATGAAGGCAAAGCCTTGATTCTCATTCCTAAGCAACGTGGGACTTAGGATAACACTCAATGGTAACACTCACTATTGAGTCTTGTTCCAAGTCCCACATTGCTCAAGAATGGGAATGAAGGTATTGCCTTCACCTATAAAAGGATAGGTAAGCCATGAATTAAATGAGGCCCACACTTTTTGTGCCATAGGCCCAAAGCCTAGCCAAACCCAACTTAGATTGGGCTTGTAAAATATTTTTTTAATGTATATATTATATATTATATGTTATTTAATTTAAAAATTTATGAATAACAAAATTTTTATCATAAGATGCCATGGGCTCAAAGTCATTAAAAATTAAAGCCAGGAAGCCAGGCCTATGGTGTGGGTCGGCCCAGGCCTGGGCCTAGGCTGATGCCCTTATCATTGGTCCTAAACCTGGCCCAAATCCAACCTGTGCCTGGCCCAGCCTATGATCATCCCTAGCAATTAATTGTTTAAACCTCCCAAATTATGACACAAAATAGAAGTGTTTGGTGTGGGATTTGGGTTTGAGAAGGCCCTTGAGGGACACAGGACACTGAAACAACCAAGCTGATTCCCCTGTTGAAACTACTTCAGGAAGTCAATCTATCTCTAAAGGGAAATGATGAAAAGGTTTGGGCACCAACCACAAAGGGCAATTTCACTTGTGTCTTTCTTTAAGACTTTTGACCCACCTTCAAAGAAGATGGAAGTTCTAGGCTCTTTCTCCTCGTGTGTGTGTCCTTTATTGAAAAAGTGGGCAAAGTACTAATCACCTTTTGTTGCATCACTCCTATACCTCTAGGTTGTGGCAGCTCACTCTCAGGCTGTTTGGAAAAACTTGGAGAGCTCTTGCTGAAGTAGCTGATTCGTTTAATTCAGATTGGCGGGGAAGGGGCAGTAAAAGGCAAAAAATTCTGTGGCATTGTTTGTGCGAGTCAATGTTGTGGGGGCTTGGAGTGAAAGAAATGCAAGGATCTTTTAAGAAAAGTATAGGGATGTGGAGGAAAGGTTTGACCTGATAAAGATTTAAGGCTGCTCACTGGGCTGTTATGTGTGAAGACTTCAAAGGTGTCTCATTAAATGATCTGTTAAGGGAGTGGCACGTTGTAGCTGAATTTCAGGCTGCAAAGCATCAGGGTGACTGAGTGGTCCCCTCCTTCAGAAGGTGTAGTAGTCAAGCTGAATTTCAATGGTTGCTGTTTTAGGAACCCAGGAGCTTCTGGAGTAGGGGGTGTGGCCAGTAGGGCTGCAAATAAGTCAGATCAGATCCAATTTGAATCTGAATTCAATTCAGTGAGAGCCGGATTCAGATATCTCCCTTGATCCTAACAAATCGGATTGAATCAGAAAAAGTCGACCCGCTTAGTTAACAGATCGAATTCAAATATACTCCGATCTAATCCATTACTTATGAAATATTATATATTACTATATTCCATAATAATATAATATATTATTTATATTATTATATCATGTTTTTTACTATAATCCAAATCAAACTGGATATCCAATAAGATATTTGGATTTGAATTCAAATTGGTCAGATTTCTTATCAAATTGGATCGGATATACCCTTTACCAAATCCGATGTGATCCATTTGCAGCCCTAATGACCAGGGATAATGGGGGTAATGTAATTCTAAGTTTCTTTGGTCCAGTGGGTATTGGAAATTCTTTGAGAGCAGAGCTGATGGCTTTGATTCAAGGACTAAAATTGCTGGTGCAGCAAGAAGTGAGAAATGTGCAAGTGGAAGGTGACTGTCAAACAGTCATAAGCTGGATGAGGGCAAATGATCAAGTGCAGTGCCACTTTGAATGCTTCGTTCAGTTGGACACCAAGAAGCTCCAATAGACTGGCTGACTCTTTAGCAAGAGCAGGTGTTGGTAGGGAAAGTCTATCTTGGGTATGCCCTAGGCCGGGTGGGGAGCTGTAATTTATAAACTTGTTTTGTGCAAAGACTCTCTGTAGTTCTCCTTCTGTTTTTTATGGCTGAATGTAGTATTCCGTTTTGTATGTGTGTATTGTTTTTTCTTTCCCTTTTGAATGGCAATATAAAAGGAAAATGCATAAAATGAGAAATAAAAATTTATGTCTATCAAACCATTTTCAGAAGAGGATAAACAAATGGAACTAACAATGAAAACAGCACCCAAACATATCTTCACTTAGAAAACTGAAAAGAAAAAACACAATAACATTCATGCCAAAAAGTACATCAACTTCATGTGTAAAAAAGAAAAAGGGAAGGAAAAGTAACTGTCTAAATATATAATACGAACAAAATAAATGAGGATGCTTCATCAGTATGTTAAACTAACCTGACGAAGGCTTAGTGAACCTGCACGGAAGGTCCTTGCTGCAAGGAGCTTCTTATACACTTCTTCAGGAAGACTCTCTCCAGCTTCATAGTGTTTTGCAATGCTCATCAGTGTATCCCTAGAATATGATTTAAGAAAAATGAAGTGACCAAAGTGCATGCTTGCAGAAAGATGTCTTACACAGGCTTTTTTAAATTTTAAAGTACAAAACATAACTAAGTAATCAATCCTCAAAACGGGCAGATGCATAGTTGATTAACAGCTAGATATAAGCAAGTCATAGGAGAACCTACACCATGTAGCTTAACTAACCTCAAAGTTCTTATGAAATTATAGGTATAAAGCTTTTCCAACTTTTAATTCTTTTCTATTAAACATAAGGGGTTTCCACTTAAAAAATCCCAGGCATCTGGCAAGCTGAAAAATAACTATACTATCACTTGATCCAGGAATAGCTTCATGCTAGTACCTAGCCAAACACAGCCTAATATACTTTGATTCAAAAGCACAAATATGCACATAATGCTCGTGTCAAAGAGTGAGGAAGTAAAAGATTATAGGAATGGAATAAATGCCAAAATCAAAAGCTTGTAATTTCATAATCTTATCCATTTTATCTGTTACTGATCAAAAAACTCGTCCATTTTATCACATGAAAAATTTTTGTTAGATTATATCACCTGTGATAGCACCAATTTTCCATAAATTGTGAAGGTAATTCGACAGCATCCCATTCGATCCCCCGAATTCCAGAACATAGGCCTTCATCTTGCTTGGTGAGCATATGCTGAAGTGCATGGCCAAATTCATGAAAGACAGTCTCGACCTACAAATAGTTCAACCAATCAACATAAAAGTTTGGGTAAGTTACAGATAGCCACTGTACTTAGGAGTTGGTATCACTTGGTCTCCCGAACCTATTAATATGGTTGATGGTGAAAGTAAATTACTAAACTGCCCACTCAAGATTCCATGGGCTGACCGCAACACATATCAAAACGATGAAAATAACCAGTCCAAAGCACATTGTTTCTAAAAGCACTAAGAAACCAATCATTCTCAAGGTGTTCTCAAGATGAACTTTGTTGAAAGAAAGTTGAGAGAAACATGTGAGAGTTAGGAATTTAGAAAAACTAAGTTAAAAGGGCAAAATGGTCTCATAAAATAACATAAGGGTAGTTTGGGTTTTAACAGAACATTCCATGAAGTTAACTGATGGAATGCACATTCCATCAGTTATAATGGAACATTTCTTTGAGTTGCTGATCAATATATATCCAGTAAAATTTCATGCTGCTAAGTGCTATCCATGGAAGTGGAAATGGAAATATGTTGTGAAAACTATCTCTTGTATTCTACATAGTGCTGGTAGTGTTCATTGGGGAATATGTCAATTCTGACAAAATTTCATGTCGCTACCCATGGAAATAAAAATATGTCGTGTAAATGTTCGGGAATTTAGGGACATTTTAAACCATGATGTACAAAATTATAAGGGATTTGTACAGGTGGTCAGGTGCCACTTGGAGTTTTGAAGAACTATTCTTTAAGATCCGGAAACAAGTATCATTTGAACAAATATGATTAGTATGAAAGGTTTTACCTCACGGAAAGTCATTAGACTTGGCTTGTCTCCAACTGGAGGTGTTTGATTACAAACCATGTGGGCAACAGGCAATCTAGAAGAGACACCATCACGTGAAAGTGCACGACTTCGAGCAATAACTTCATCCATCCATGCTCCACCACGTTTTTCAGAAGGACGGGAATATGGATCAAAATAGAAGTATGCAATGGGATTTCCTGAGGAATCTTTAACACGATAAAATCTTACATCATTATTCCAAACCTGGACAAATATGACACAACATTATCAAGATGTTATTTTGATTGTAAAAGCATCAAAGTCAAGGAAATGAAGCAATGGAATAGATATTACTGGAGCAAGGCCATCAGCTGGCTCAATTTCGATCTCAAACAGCTTCTTTGCAAGACCAAAAAGGCCGTCCATCACCTTTGGTAATGAGAAGAATGGACGCAATTCTTCCTATGGAGTAAAAAGCAGGTTAAAACAATAGATAAACTTCATAGCTAAGCAAGTTGTACTGCAAGAAACTAAAACATAGTGCTCATGCAATCTGCTAGAAGTCAATATATTACAAGCTAAAACTATATATGTCGATTCATATATGTTTATCTAACTCACATGGATCAATTTAGTGGGACAACTTACAAGGGGCATACTTTTTTCACTTCTGACTTAACAATGCAATAAAGGACAGGAGATCAACAAGGTGGATTGAATTAACTCTCTCTTTTTCTCTTTATTGCTCGTTCCCTTTTTCTTCTCTTTTATACCTACATATCTTGTAATTGAACACAGACCCCATACAACCTCAAACTTGTTCACAGATTAGAGAACAATATGGAAGACTACCGTGTTGCCTCCATTCCATATTGGGTAAGCAGAAAAGAAGGAATAAGCACCTCTTCTAGATTCACAGGTGGCCTAATACATAGCTCAGCCATTAAAAGATTGTCTTTTTGGAATTTATTACCTCTCTAACTTTACTTGAATCACTTCTGATTTCAACCTTGAACAACACTGCAATGATCACCAGATACATCAATAGCACATTAACAAGTGAACAGATGATGACCATAGTTGTCAAGGTGATGCCTAGGCAACAAGGCGCCCTTGGAGGCTTGCCTCGCCCAATCGCCAAGCAGTTTTGTATACTGTGTAATAAAATATTTTTTGTGTTTATAAACTAATTTATTTTTATTATTTTCTTATTTGTTAGGGTTTAATCAACACAAACATTGCTAACTGCTGTATTGAACCCTCAAAGACTTCAAAATCTTAACCAAAATCTTCCTATAACAAAAATAGGGGTTCAGCCCCTATATTTTTTGAATTTTCTTTTCCATCTTCTTTTTCTTCTCATAAATATGTTTATTTTCTAGACTTAAATATGAAGTTTATAATTTTCTTATGGAAATTATGGATAGTTATTAAAGAAAGATGGTTATGGAACCTAGGAAACTACCCTGGAATATGTGGTTTTTACTTAAAAAAATCCATCGCCTAGGCAACTAGGCGATAAGGCACCCCTTATCGCCTAGCCTCACCTTGGCACCTAGAAAACTATGATGATGGCAATCCTCATTCCATACTTCTTTCCCAAGTCTGACTTCTTTCTAAAATGTAAAGTGTAATCACCTTTTCAAAAAGTATCTCAAACTCTCAGCTTGATCAAGTATATTTGCCAACCTCTCAACCAAATAACCTTTTTTCAATGATCTAATCAAAATGATGCACCAAACTAACAAGTAAACAGGATTCCTGGGCTAGCTCCATGTTAATTGAAGCCCAAAATGCCAAAAATTAGAGGAAAGTCTACAATAACTTGACTGTGAAAACTGGTAATGTTGTCTGAAAGTTCTGAATCCATGTACTCCTACCCATTGTTCCTGCAGTCTTAGTTGCAATTAACTATATTATTCCCAAAGAAAGTGGAAAAAATCATTAAAAGGCACTCTCCCAGACCCAGGTGCAGAAAATTACTCTTCAAAATTCAGAAGTAGAAGAGCAAAGATGAGTAACCAGTTGCACATTGAAGAGGTAAAAATGAACTAGAATCAAAGAATTTCACTCAACAAATGCATGCAAGGGCATGAAATCTCATCAATAACCAAATAGATATAGGGCTATTTGATAACTGCTGAAAGAAAAATGCCAAAAATATTCCAAACTTAAAAATGGCTTAATGGTATACAATAAAACTTATAGGGGTAAAATAATCACCTCAATGTTTGTTCTTCATAATTGACCAATTAAGGTCTTGAGTTGCTGAATTTTTGAATTTACCATTTTTAAAAGAGGAATCTTTTCAGCTCCTATTTACCTTAACCAGATTTACTATATCAAAGTTGCACATTCAGAAAGGAATAAAAAGGTTGATAATGCAAAGCATATACATTCCTATTTTCACATAACTGCTAGAAAGTGAAGATTATTTCTAACTCAGTAACTCAACATAAAAACAATAACATAAAAGTTCCTATGCATTAAGATCAGGCAAAACTATGATAAACTTAATGTAAGATAGGTATAGAACTAGAATCTAAATTAAATAATAGAAATCCCTACCTCATTTATGTCATACTTTGACTCACGAAGTCTCTCACTCCAGAAGTTTATGTCCCAGTGACTCAAACCATTAGCTTCTATAGCACCCTGGTCTTTGGAGAATTTCTTAAGGTCTTCCATATCTACAAAGATTAAATAGATATTTGGGTCATTAAACCTAATAAACTGTCATAAAAAAAAAAGAAAAAAAAACCTTCCATCCTAAGAATGATAAGGTGCAGAGAAAATAAATTATGAAACACTCTGTACATAAGAAGTGGATTAATCAGGAAACTATAAGAATATAATAATACTGAAATCATTCCAAAGGCTAAGTCATACATAATTTACATTACTTTTTATATAATCTAATGGTTTCCATCTTGCATAGGTGATAAAATTTAAATAGTTACATGCTTACACCATCAACCTTTGAACATTCATATAAGTTTGGCTCTACATTTTTTTTTTTTTTTTGATGAATGAGTGAAGAAATTTATTAATCAGAAAATGTGAGAATTACAAACATCCCAAGGAGAGGCACAAGGTGCGACCTCTCTAAGAAATTAAATACAGCTATTCAAACTCAATTAGAACATGTCACAAAGTAGCTCATTAAAGACAGTCCCGAGAAGCCCCTTGTTTGGCTAGTGAATCCACTACAACATTTGCTGATCTGCCCACCCACTGAACACTAACTCTCATATTGCTAGTTAGCCATTCACTTTTTTGAAAAGATCTCTATAACCACAAATGATATGAGTCCGGATTCAAGAGCCACCCCACCACCACCTGAGAATCACCTTCAATTATTAAATTCCCCATCCCAAGCTGGTTCGCAATCTGGATTCCTTGAACAACAGCTAGTACTTCTCCCCTTGTAGAGTCACCCACTCCCATAGGTCCTGAGAATAAGGAAATAATATTTCTGTCCTTATTTCTTAGAACCCCTCCTTATACCCAAAGGGATTACCCTAACTTCTCCCATCAAAGTTCAGTTTAATTTAGTGACACCATTGGGGGAGGTGTCCAATTTACAACCCTTCTGTTCTTCCTAGTGGAGGTATTGGCCACTACTAGCCAATTTCTCCAAAGATCATCAAAAGTAAAATCAGCAAAACTGTTTAATGTTTTCAGCCAAAGTATTGCCCTTGTCAAAGTGCATTCCTTCAGCTCAGAGAGACTTCTTTCCTTTCCTAGGAATATTCTGGCATTTCTTTCATCCCAAATAGTCCACAGGAGAGAAGCTCTAATAGATTTCCACATAATTCTCCCTTTCCCCATGTGCCACCTAAAAGTAGACGGGTTAAACAACATAATTACATCAAATGGCAGGTACCACCTACATCCAAACAAATCAAATATCCAATTCCATAAAGCTGTAGCAAAAGGACAAGATATCAGTAAGTGGTAACAATCCTCATTCTGAGCTTTATAGAGAAAACACCAATTAGGGGATAAGACATAAGTAAGGTTTCTCCTTTTGCAGGTTTTCCAAAGTATTGATCTTACCATAGTAAACTTCAGAGTTAAAAGGTGTTACAACTTTGTGTATGGGGTTAGAGCTCCCACACTATTACATATTTCTGTCCCTCTTTACATTGCAGCCCAAAACAGTTGGTGCCTCAAAACCCCTTGTTTAGCAAGATAATCAGCTAGCCCATTTGCACTCCTAACCCATTTAAATTCAGCATCTACCTCCCTTGCGATCTTTTCCACTTCCCTTATCAATTGTTTGAAAGTCCATGGAGTAGTTCTATTGTTTTTAGCCCAAGAGATGATCACCTTGGAGTCCCTTTCAACCTCAACATGCCTCATTCCTAGTTGCTTACCTATCTTCAATCTTTGTAGCAATGCCATTAATTTAGCTTTTAGAGAGTTGCCCATGCCGATAGGTCCAGAGAACAATGCTACTATTCTACTTTCAGAATTTCTGATTACTCCCCCGATATCTGTCAGTCCCGGATTTCCAAAGGAGCTTCCATCAAAATTCAGTTTAATCCTGTTACCATCTGGAGGTTTCCATTCCATCCTTACTCTCTCTTTCACTCTTGAAGATTGCACTACTTCTGTCCAGGATCTTATAATGTCTATGACTGAGAACTCTTGAAAGATATGTAAGGATCWTATCCAATGAGCTACTTTAACTTTAATTGTGTCGATTACCTCCTCCCTTGTTCTACTCTTATCCAAAAATATTCTGTTATTCCTTTCTTCCCATATTACCCAACAAATAGCTGCCCTTGTAGTTTTCGACATAACCTTCCCTCTTTTCTTTGATTGCCTCAAAAAGTCTCGGTTGAAAAGTCCTGCCACATCTTGAAGGGGAACCCACCTGCAACCAAAAAGAAAACAAAAAGAATCCCAAATGTGATGCACAAAGGAACAAGATAAAAATAGATGTGTCAATGTCTCACCACTTTCCTTACAAAGGAAGCACGTGTGAGGAGAAAGACAAGCAGAAGGCCTTCTTCTCTGCAGCATATCACAAGTATTAACCTTGCCAAGGAAAATTTCCCAACAGAAGGCTTGAATTTTTGGAGGAATAGGCTTACTCCAATTTTCTTTTACAGGAAAGTCCCCACCCGGGTTGCTAGGTGTGGCAAGAACACTAAAGAAGGAGGAACAAGAGAAGATGTCATTTGAGGAACCTTTCCAAATTCTAGAATCTTCCAAGGATGGGTCCAAATGAAATTGTCCTAACAGATCCAATAGTGATCATCTATAGACAAATAGAAACTAATTTTGTTGAGAATATAAATAGTGATCATCTATAGACAAATAGAAATCAATTGTGTTGCAAATATAAACAACAATGTTCTACGAAAGATACATACATCCACCGCTTTAAAACCTTGATAGTTGGACCAGTTCCCAGGAATCAGACTCTATAAAGTGATTCAATGTCTAACCTGGCACACACTAAAAGGTAGATAAAACTGCTAAGGTAGCGTTTGATAACACTTTTCTGATGTCTAAGGTCTAAAACTTTGCTTTTCAGATACCATTGGTGTTTGGGTTTAGGTCTAATTAGAGGATCTGAAACACAAATTCAGATCTGAATTGATAAGGCCTGGTTTCATGTTTTACCAGAATCAGACGCATTTCAGACGTGATAAAATGACATTAGTGCCCTCATTATTGTCATCTATTTAATAACAACAACAACAATAATCATGATGATGATGATAAAAATAATAATAATAATGATAGTAATATGCTTATTAATAATTTATTATTACTTAATAAATATTAATAATAATTATAACAAGAACAATAATAATAATTATTATTATATAATTATTAGAATAATAGTTATAATAATAACTATTATTATTAGTATAATAGACCTGGCAAGACCCAACCCAGTGTTTTAAAAGCGCAAGACGCAAAAAAAGTGCAAGGGCCAATTTGCGCCTGAGGCGCAAGGTGCAATGCGAGGCGCGTGCCTTTTTGAAGCAAGGTGCAAAATTACAAAAAAATGGTAAAAAATAAAAAAAGTCAGAAATTTCAAAAAAAATAAAAAATAAAAAAATATATATTAAACATAATGTTAATAAAAGTATAAACTTAAATTTTAAAATAAATGTTTTAAAAAACCTATTATCTAAAATTAAAATACATAAACATAACACGTAAAGCGTATTCAAATGAAAATTTAAAAATAAAAGCAAACATATAAAGCATTTTCAAGCATGTAAAACCCACAATCTCTTTTTTTCCTCAATTGTATTACTTCAAGTAGCTAATGTGATGTAAAACATATTGCATTCTTGGTTCTATAGTCGCCTTTGTACCACGCCCCTCGAGGCAAGCCCGAACAAATCCATGTTAGGGTCTTAAATTCTTATTTCTCACAAAAAAAATAATGATTTTATAACTTTAATTGCCTTTTTAAGATGATATTTTATTGGAATGAATGAATGAACAACATTAGGCTCAAAAAAAAGCAAAAAAAAAACAAAAAATGCAGAATTTTAAAAAGGCACATGCCAGGGCTGAGGCGCAAGGCACATCAGGCGCACACCTAAGCGCACCAAGCGTGTGCCTTTTTGAAAGGGGTGCGCCTAGGACCTAGGCGAGGCACATACCCTAAAATGCGCATTACTTGTGTGCCTAGGCACACCTTTTAAAGCAGAAAATCATTTCTACTTTTCAGATTTCAGACCCAAATAATATCTTTTTAACTTTTCAGATTTCAGATTCCAGATTTATCAAGCGCCACCTAAGTTATAGAAGTTTTTAGACCTGTGCAAGACATGTATTTGTTAGAATCCGTTCAGTCCAGTGTAGGAGAAAAGAGGTCTTTGTTGAACCAAAAAAAATTAAACAGCTGCAAGAATTTGGAAAGGTGAAATTGCAACTTATCGAGGTTTTCAAATTGCAGTTGATATTGCAATTGAGATAAGTATTCGTTCTATTCCTTTTTCTTAAATATCATTAACAGTAGCGAATCAATTAACAAAAGTGACAGAAGATTGTACTACTGATTAAAGCAAAAGGCTTAAGAAGAACATATACAAAGATGGCCAAAGGTCCTATAGAAACCTAAGGGTGTGTTTGGTTCACGGGAATAGGCACCTGGAATCAGAATAGGAATGGCCCATTCCGGTTCCAACCATTTGGTTGATTGGAATGGGATTCCCCCATATGGGGGAATGGCCATTCCGGGCACCCCCCCAGGAATGCCATTCCCATTCCCCCTCTCTATTTTTTATTTTTTGACAAAATAGCCCCCATTTCCTATTTGACCAAAGGCCTGAACTTTCACAGGCCTTCATCCAATGCCAGCCGCCACCGACCACCACCTTTGGCGGGTTAAGACCAGTCACCAGCCGGCCTTCCTCCATCCAACATTTCACACGCCTTCTTATTCTTCCTCCGCGTTAGGAAGAGGTGATTCCATTTCTGATTCCGATCCTGGACACAAACTAAATGGACCCTAATTTCATTCAAAAGGTAAGTGAACTACCTATTACAGCCTGAACCCCAATTTATAAAACTTGCTGAATTGCCCTCAACCATCAACAAGGAGAAAATTTCCTCCCTTGCCACCCTCACCACCAGTGCCTTGAAATCTGCATATCCTATTGGACCACAAAAGACCCATATCATGCAGCTGCCAAAGAGTCCATAAAATTGCCTCGTATTGGCTAACAACCTGGCAATATGAGATAGATAAGGTTATCTTCTCCCAGATAGCAGTGATCAAAGAATTCTTGTTTCCAGGGGCCATCTTGTTCCTTTCCTCCCTTAATCCCCACATGGTTGCATCAAGGACAGTTCCAAATTGATCTACCTCTCACCTCAAGACCAGAAGTAATCTAATGGCCAAGAAGATCCCTACATGGATCATTCTATGGGGAAAGGTTGTCATATGCTAAATAAATTGATGTGTTATAGTTGTAAAGGGCAATGTTAGTCATCTGTCTATTTTTTGCAAGATAACCTAGGACATGAAGCTTCCTTCTTATGATCAATTCAGGAAAGGCCAATGAATCGTTTTCTGCTCAGCTGCAATGACGCCCAGATGTGGCAAGAAAACAAATGGATAAGGTTTTAGACATGGAATATATTGAAATAACTGACAGGAAAAAGCACCTATGCATAGTTACCTTAGTATCATAGTTTGGCTTATACTACCGGTAGCTCTTGGCAAAATTCCTTTTTTTTGGAAAGGATATAAAGTATGGATTTGTATTAATGATGATGACATAAGGACTTCTTTTAGATCATAATTCCTTTAGCAATCGCTGAGAATTTGGGAAGAAAGAAATTGCAAAGCATTCTACAGGAAGGAAAGGCCCTCAAGGCAATTTTGTGCACATGATTTTTTTACTTCAACTGCATCTTGGTTTTAAAGGATTGGGGGGGTTGATCACCGATAGACAATGGTATATGGGCTTAGTTATCTTTTGGGACAGACTTTCTACATGCAATGGGTATATTGTGTCCACAAGGTGTTATTCTAAGAGCTTCCTTTTGTTGTTTTTGTACATTTTCCTCTTTTCTTTGACATTTTTTTCTTGATAAGGTTTCTTTATCATTCCTATAAGAAAGAGGCTACACAACATTCAAATGCTGATTCCAAATAAGCACATCTCCTCTGCTACTTAGCAATGTACAAAAACAAAAAGAGGATTTCTATCCTCAAACAACAATACTCTTTATGTGTGATGTGTGATCCAGAAAGTAATATACTAAAAGTTAGTCCAGTTGAAACTTGAAATTAGAAATACCCTTTTTTTTTATTTATCCCATGATCATTGTTGCCTTCTAGTCTAACTCCCATACTGAAAAAATAAAAAAATAGCAAGAAATAACTTGTTGGTATACGGTACAATACCTTGAACTGCAGGATCCCAAGAGGCACTGCGAAGCTTTTCTAGGAGCTCAACTGCTTTATCAACCGTAGCCATTTTTGTTGCCATGCTTACCTAGGCAAGAAAAGGCATACATTCATAAGTTTGTGAAAGAGAAGCACTGCAAACAAATAATACATCATACCTCAGCATAGTTTCTGTAACCAAGAATTTTAGCCTTCTCCAATCTAAGTGTCAGAATTTGGTCAATAATGGGTGTATTATCAAGATCTCCACTAGAAGCACGAGTTACATAAGCACGATAGATCTCCTCACGCAATGATCGATTCCGAGCATGTTGCATAACAGACATAAAGCTTGGAGCATCCAATGTAATCACCCATGGTCCATTCTCAGCAGTAGCATTTTCATGACCCTAAGTTAAGAATATGAATGCATTTTTTGATAAATAAATATAGAATGAGGCTTAAAATACAATAGAAGAAAGGAAATTAGAAAAAAAAAAAAACCCTCAGTGGAAGAGGACATGCGATTGCACTAATAACATTTCAAGATGAGGTAGTGTTTTCAACCCGATGTTGACCCGGCCGATTGAACCGTTCGAACTGTCACCTGGCCAGGATTCTGGGTCCGGTTCTGTTAAAACCCATCAGGCGGTCAAAAACCGCTGACTTGGTCAAGAACCATCCAACCTGGCCGGTTCAACCATCAACCCGTTCGACCCAGCCACCGGGTCGCGGGTTGCACACAATGCATGCAAACTTTCAGAGGCCATAACTTTGCACTCCGATGTCCGATTGGAGTGATCTTTTTTTATTTTGGGTAACTTTTTCAAGATCTATGTGTCTACGGCACCTTGCCCTGCTATTTTTGCAGAGAAAAAAAAACTTTTTTGGCCTCAATTTGCAATTTTTAATATGTTTTTATAAATAAAAAATTAAAAAATGAATTAAAAAACATAAATTAATTATAAAATAATACATATAACATATCTAAAACATAATTATACATGATTTATTGATAAAATATTTATTTGTACACACACACACACACACATATATATATATATACCTTAAATACATGGGGCACAGTCTGACCCGTTTGACCCAAATGATCAAACCGGTAACCCGCGACCCTGAGGCATAAATGGTTTGGCCTTTGGGTCGGTTTTTAAAACATTAAGATGAGGTACCTTGGATATTGCTGTTTGTGCAGCCAAACCAAGAGCAGTAGCTGGCAAGCCGTCAATCTCCTTCTTGTTTGTAATTAATTTTTCAAACTTCTTTGTAGCATCCAAGACATTTTCCTCAAATTTTTGTGATAATTTTTCCAACTCCTGCAAATCAACTCAAGATTGAAAAGTGAAGGATCAATAAATAAAATGAAATACGATAAATGTCTGACTAAGTTCCTTTATCCAGAATCCGCTAACAAATATAAAGTTAGACTACAGCAATAAACATGATATAGTTATACCATTTATTGTGTCAATGTCATGGACTGATCTATTTCTCCTAAGAAAATATCATTCTAATACACTTATTTCTCTCATTTTCTATTCAGATTTTATGAGTTTACTTTCTAAAATCAGACTTTTATTGGACTGACCTATGGTGAAATAAGGTTCAATTCTGAGATGAGGAACAGGAAGAGAAAATTAATACGGTTTTCTAATTTAAGACACTTAGAGAAGCTGCTGTAAAAACTTAATTGCTATAAGTTCTAAGTGGCAATTAAAAGATTTAGAAATTCTATAAAACAGTTGTAAGACCAAAAGTATTGTATAGAGCAGAGTTTTTGGGCAGTCAAGAAACCACATGCCCAAAAACAAAGACAAGTTTGAAAGAAATACAAATGTTGAGATGGATGAGTGGAAAAACTAGAAAGGACAGGGTCAGAAATGGAATCATCTGAAGGAAAACGAGAGAAAGTAGACTATGATGGTTTGATCATGTGCAGAGAAGACCATCTATAACACCCATAAGAAATGATCTCTTACAAGTTGGAGGGACTAGAAGATCTAGGGGCAGACTGAAAAGGAGATGGGTTGAAGTAGTAAGAAATTATTTAAGCACTCATAATTAACAATGTAAATGACACTGAACAGAAAAGAATGATAAAACAGGATTTATGTAGCCCCCATATAGTTGGGTCAAGGCTTAGATGATGATAATGAATGATGACAACGATAATGATAATGATGGTTGTGGTAGTGATGATGATGATTTTAGAGAGGTGTTAGAGTCAGCAGATAAGAGGGTAGTTTAATCTTTATGTTCTGTTATTGGAAGTTACATTGTCTCTTTTATCTTAGTTTAAGTTATGTGCCCCATACTTAATTAGGGACATAATAGTCTTTGTATACCAAACTCACAACATATCATAGTTGTCAAGGTGACACCTAGGCGGGCGCCTAGGCGACAAGGCACCCTTGGAGTCTCGCCTCGCCTAATTGCCAAGCAGTTTTCTATAGCGTGTTATAACAAACTTTTATATTCTTAATTTTTTGAGGTTATAATTATAAAATAGACATTTTTAAACTAAAATATTCATTTTGTGTGTTTATATACTAATTTCTTTTTGTTATTTTCTTATATGTTAGGGTTTAATCAACACAAACATTGCTAAATGCTGTATTGAACCCTCAAAGACTTCAAAACCTGAACCAAYAAGTAAGAAAGAACATAAAATGTTGTCCAATCAACATATTTTCTTCTTTTTCTTTACTAATTTTGTGTTTTTATATACTTATTTTTCGAATTTTCTTTTCTTTCTTATTTTTCTTCTCATGAATATGTTGGAATATGTTGATTTTCTATACTTTAACATGAATTTTATACTTTTCTTATAAAAATTATGGATATTTATTAAGGAAATATTATTATGGAACCTAGGGAACTACCCTAGGATACATGTTTTTACTTAAAAAAAAACCATCGCCAAGGCGACACCTAGGCGCCCGCCTAGGTGACTAGGCAACTAGGCGCCCCCCTGTCAAACCAGTGCTAACAAGAGGAAAGAGAAGCAATAGCATACAGATGCACAGTAGAAGTAACGGAGGAGAGAAATGGGAAAGAGAATAGAGAGGTCCATTATTTACAAGGTACCCACTAAACAAAAAACTTAAGTCAATTCCATATTCCAACTATAAATTCAATTACAGCGAGCATAGCTGTTTATAAATTGAAACCAATGGGTCAACCAGTCCTTACAACTTATTTCTAAAATTACAAAAAAAAAAGAAAAACAACAACTACATTCTTTAATATCTACTTCCCTATCACTTTTAAGACACCAACCGACAACCAACCAATTGAAATGGTCATAACTTTCCCAAATTTGCTTAGATTTACAAGATATTGATTTTCTTAGGATAGGCAAATGCAAACCTACCTAGCAACACCAAGATCAAGTCAAACCAACAAGTTTTAACCCCAAATTTCTGATTAGAGAAAAAGAAAGTTTTAAGTCCAAAACATAGACTATAAAGAAAATGGCATAATTACAACCTAAGTTTTTCTAAAACTATAAAGTCACTGATAAAACTTTTTTAACCATTTTGACTCTCTAGACTAATTAACTTTGTTTTTATGCCCCAGACTGGAAAAGGCCCAATAGTAAACCAACAACTATGGAGAAATTGGAAATTTTTTATTTTTTTTCATCCTTTGTTTCCTTCCCTTTTCCATGTGTGCATCAACTAGCGCATCACAATTCCACCAAGATTTAAGTGAGCCTAATATTTCTCTCATTTTCATTTGGATCTCATGAGTGTACCATTTCAAATTACTCCCACTGCACAACATTTCAGCATATTCTACCCCTATATAAAATAGTAGTTTTTTCAACAGCTGCAGTAAAGGTGGATTTTTTTATTGGATTTGACCATAGTCTAATTAAAAATGCATAGAACATTATTATTATTCCATCAGAAACCTCTTTGTGGAAATTAACAAGTGATAAAAAAAATTAACAAACAAAAGAAATCCTTGATGTTAGTAATTCCTTTGCATAATGATTTGGCTTCAAAAGATAAATAGCATACAACTAAGGCATACCTGTTGAATTTTGTTAAAATGCTCTCTTTCAGCATCCTCTAGAGAAACACCATTTAGGACTGCTTCCTTTATTTGGGCTGCAAGGACATAAGCTAAGCTATAAAGTTGACCCAAATAAATCAAGCCCAAAATGTCCATCTACCATTTGAAAAATTAAGATAACGCCCTATTCTCATAACCGAACAAGCAATAAATGAGAAGGCTTAAACTATCAGAGCAGGAGATATTAAAAAAAAAAAGAACTATATCATAATTCCATCACACTCAGATCTAGAATAGCATGTCACAAGTTTGTTAAACCCAGTAGTACATTAATAAACAATCTTAGCAGATGCACAAGAATGAGGGCAGCCCATGGTTTTCACTACATCCACATCTATGATAACATGTTAAAGATTTATGGCACCTGTTATTAACTAGAGTTACTAGATAACATAGAAAACGCATGTGAGATAAGGCAAACCTATGGTTCTCCATCTACAGTGCCACCATGAATTGACTGACTTTTTTTATTGCAAATGGTAACTTTCATTCATTAAATCATAAAAAAAAAATTACATGTCAGACATTCCATTATTCCATAGCTGGATCGTTGATACCATAAACACATCCACTGTTACAATATGGCCCAGAAAAGTTCACTCCTGTTGGATCCTTGTTTGGCTGAAGCATCAGCCAGGTCATTGGCTGTTTTCTAACCCATTTGAAATCTGCTTCAATTTCCTTTGTAAGACACCAAATTTCTCTCGTAGCTTTGCTTATGATTCCAGATTCCCAAATTTCCAGCTTTCGTCCAATCTATTACTAACCTTGAATCCCCTTCCACTTCAATCTGGTGTAGTCCCATCTGTTTAGCCAGTCTCAGTCCTTGCAGTAAATCTAACATCTCAGCTCTTAATGAATCACCCAGTCCTATAGGCCCCAAAAGAAGAGCCAAGATTTTCCTTCCCCCTCTCTAAAGACTCCTACACCCAAAGGCCCCAGGTTACCAAGTGGGCTGCCATCAAAATTCATCTTTATTCTTTGTTGTGTAGAAAATGCCCGACTCTCTTGAATTGCTGAAATGGATCTTGAAGAGTTTGCTACTGAATCCAAGCCCCCATTTATATAATTCACTGAGCCTTAAACAACTCAACTGTTTTCACCTGATGCACTACCTTAATAGTGATGCAATCAATCAAAGCCTCCCTCGATTTTCTTTTTCCTTGAAAGATCCTATTATTTCTTTCCTCCCATACCGCCCATAAAACCACAGCTCTTGTGGCTCTCCACAATAACCTTCCCCCTCTCTTCAGTTGCCTAAAGAAGCTTGCTTCAAAAAGACCTGGCACATTAGGAGGAGGAATCCACATACAACTAAAGAGAGAAGAAAACCATTCCCAAATAAAAGAGGTAAAAGTGCAGGAAATTAATAGGTGATCAGTAGTCTCACCACAAGCAAAGCAAAGGAAGCAGATATGAGGGGAAAGGCACGGATTTGGCCTTCTTTTTTGAAGTACAACACATGTGCTGATCTTTGAAATAGCCACTTCCCAAAACAAAGCCCTCACTTTTGGAGGCATTAGGCTGCACCACACCTCTTTAGCTGGGAAAGACACTGCTACAGTTGAAGAATGGAGGAGGGCATTGAAGCAAGAAGAGCAAGAATACAAACCAAAGGGGGAGGCTGACCACATTCCACTATCCTCACAATAAGAATCCAGAAAAACAATACTCGACAGGGAGATAAGTTCATCCACTGCCCCCATCTCAGCTTCCCTAAGCCCTCTCCTCAAACTCAAGTCCCAAGAGTCCTCATTACCAAGGTTCAAAATATCGTTACGTATCGACCCGTATCAGCCTATATGTATCGTATCGGGGCCTTCTCGATATGCCCCTACAGGGGGTGTATCGGGTCAGGCCATGGTTCAGAGGATAGCTGGGACTTAAACTGACCCCTCTGAACCGGTTTTAAGAAAATAAATAAATAAAACATAAAAAACCACTGATACAGGTAGCCTGTATCATAGAAATGGAGTGTAAGGAAGGAAATCTATCCATGAGAGGACTATCCCCCAACCAAACATCTTCCTAGAAAAGCACTTTATTTCCAGAACAAACATCATACCTGAGAAACGAGTGAAGAGAATGGGTAACTCCTTGTAAGGCCTTCCAAGGGGAAGAACAAGATGCCCCAGTGCCAAGACCAGCATCCCAGCCACAAACTATCCTACTCATAGGGCCATCTCCAAAGCCACTTCCCCAATAAGGCTACATTCCTCTTCTTGATATTTCCAATGCTAAAACCCCTTGTGCCTTACTTCTGGTCGCCACCTCCCACTTTACCAAATGATCCTTCTTAGTATCACCAAGTTCCCACAAGAAATCACTCATAATTTTCTCCAACTTCCTAGTCATGCGCACTGGAAAGGTTGAAAGGAAGTACAACAGCAAATTTGCTAAAGTGGACTTAATTTAGGCGATTGATTCTTCCCCCAATGGAAATATAATTTCTTTTCCGCCCTACTAACTTCTTCTCAAGCCTCTCTAGAACTAGGTACCAAAAGCTCTCCAAATAAGGATCCCCCCAGTGGTAAGACCAAATAGTTCATCGACCAACCACTCACCTCGCAACCCAAGGTACAGCTAAACTAGTGACCTCCTCCTTTGGCCTATTTAGTCCTAGTTATAGTTGTCAAGGCATCACCTTGGTGGCTAGGTGCCCTTGGTTGGGCACCTCGCTCAAGCGTCTTGACTTTTAGCAACTAGGCATCCTTCTAGGAGAGACTAGGCACCCACCTAAGCGACTAAGTGCCTGCCTAGGCAACAAAAATGACAAGGTGGGCGCCTTTTATAATATCATTTATATTGTTGCATCTTATTAATGTATGTGTTAATACATTTTATTATATGCTATATATATCAATTATACTTTGTTTTAATGTTTTGCTATTGAAATTTAAAAGACCAAAGGATTTTGAGGAGAGAAAAAGAAAGAAATAACGAAAAGAAAAGAAAGAGGAAAGAAAGAATAGAATAATAAAGTTCATTTTTTCTATTCTCTCTCTCTCTAATTAAATAAAACAGAAACTCCATCCTTGTTTTTTTTCTATTTTACTTTCTATCTTGAATATTTATCATATAAAGTTAATAACCTTCTTTAGCTGCTAATTAATATGAATTTGCTCTATTAAATACTTATTATAGTAGCATTATTTTCNNAATTAATATATGTAAAAGATTTTTATCTTTTAGATGTGATGATTTGCCACATTTTTAGAGGAAATTTAATGTTCTTAATAAAGAGAATTGCTATTTTTTCAATTAACATACATGCTGAATGGTATATAAAACTAGGAAACTAGCCAAAAGTTATATTATAAAATTTTTATCGCCTAGGCGACTAGGCGCCCCAATGTCGCCTAGAATCGCCTAGACACCCCTCACTAACAAATCAAAGAGAACGTGCAAACATTATTGAAAGAGTCCCAACTCCTCAAGTCATTATAAATTGATGCAAAAGCATGATTGCATAAAAAGATAAAGACAAGTAGCGAATAAGATCATGAACAATTATAAGAAAAATGAAGTAAATGCCATTCATGTGAATTACGCAGAAGTGATTGTTCGCTTTATTGCAATTACGGGCACCCATTGGAGATTCTTTGGACAACAATATGAATAGAACCATAATTTGCAGACAAACCAAAGAGGAGAATTGAAGTTCAGTTACAAACTAGGAAAAGACATTCCTTAGATGTGATTCCTCCTCACTGGGGATTCCTTGCATTGGAAAGGGCCATGGGACTTCAGAAAATTTTTAACTTAACAAATTACAACCTCGAATAATTAGATAAAGATTAAGAAGATTGACAAAGAGCTTCGTATGCTTAATTTGAAGATATGTCATAACAATTAAACAATATTGTATACCTGTTACTTGAGATTAAGAAACCATAACAAAATAGAATATCATACATTTATCTATTAAATAAATAAAAAGAACTAGTACTACGAATATTATATAAATGTATAAGAAGCAAGATAATTTACCTTCCACTATACGTTTACGAGCATTACTCATTGTTTCCCAATCTGAAGATTCTCGAATAGCCTTGAATGCATTATAAATGGGTTTACTCTGTCCCAGTCTAAGTTCAAACTTAACTTTCTCTGGCTGCAAAACACCAAGACAGAAGTGATTGTGAAACATTTAGACAAGACCAATATGGTATCAGCAAAAGCACCGAGCCAAATCACAAGTTCCACAGGAAAAAAAAATCATTCTAAATACTCTACAAGTGACAAGAAAAGTCAAACCTGAACTTCTTCGATGGCAGAACGGAGTTCAGGAGAATCCTTCACAGATTTGAGATGATTCACCATTCCCCAAACCACTTGGAGTCGATCAACAATCTTTTCTAATGGCTCAACTAACTTCGACCAAGCCGGTTCCACCGTCCTCTCTAGTTCAACCAAATCATTCTCCTGCAAATCCACGGCTCGATCATTAAATCTTAAACCAAAAAACCAACAAAAGAATTACAGTGAATATATGAAAGGATCAACTATTTACGAGTTTCTCAAGTAAAGCTCTGATCCCAGGCCGGACGTGTTCCGCTTGGACAACATCGAAAGGAGGGAAAACAAAATCCTTCAAGAGAGGATTCTCTTCAAGCTTATCTTCCGATGCCGCTGTCGGAGCTTCGGGCGCCATTGGGGGAACAGAAGAGAAAGAGCAAAAGGCCGTGGTGATTGGGGTTGATCTATGGAACTTCTGAAGACAAAATGAAAAGGAAGAAGACCACAGGGGGCAGGGATGGGATTTGGGGAGATGTTTGGGAGTAATAAAGGGATAAGAAGAGCGTAAAAGAGGTTGGATAGAGCGGGTGACGGAAATGCACGTCGCCATGAGCATGTTTAGTATCACAATGACTACGAGTAACCTTACCCTGTTTGGTATGTTTCCCCCCAATTTTCTAAAATCTTTGTATGGCCTTGGAGCATTTTGTGGGCATCGGAATCCGGATAATTTTTCGAGTCCGGAATTTTCTTTTTGTATAATATGATTTTTCTTTTATATTTTAAATGAATATAATGAACAAATACAACCTACAATTACCCTATGAACTTTCATTTTCAAAAAAACCTCTTGAACTATCACTTTGAAACAATAAGGAAAAAAAATTTAGAGACAGGAGAATTGAGAAGAGTTGTTAAATTGGACAATTATGTTATATAGAAAGGGTAGTAAAAATAAAAAGGCAAAAGATAAAAGATGTTTATAGATTTTAAAAGATTTTCTATTTGAACTTATTAAAATGTCTTAATTCATACTATGATGGAGGAAAGACATGATATTGGAAAAATTTTGTAACCAATGAGCGATATCATAGTGATAGCCAATGTGGTATCTATCAAACCCCTAGTGGGTGTTGATTGTTCAAAGCCTTTTTCAACACTTTAAAAACTGACTCGAAGGTTGAACCATTTTACTCGTAGTTGTGGGTTACCAATTTGATTGAGTCAGACCATGTTATATTAGTAAATATATGTGATGAAGGGTTTTTTGGCAGCACCCTGTTGTTCGAACTACTTCCAGGTGGTTGATGACTCAGAGGCCGAAGTGGAGGATTTTTGCTGGATGAGGACTTGGATGCCAAGCTAACTAGGCCGAGCTAGGGGTAGATTGGGTGCCGATCTGGGTTGATTGTTGAGCTAGGTAGCTCTTTAGAGAAACCTGCAAGGAATCAATGCTAGAGGACCCGGGGTGGCTAACCCGGCGAGGTCGCTCCGATGATTAAGTTAGTACTCTCGTAGTAGATCGCAAGCTAAAAAATCATAAAGTATGAGAGCTAAAGTGTGCTTACTCGCCTCTCCCTTGTGCCCTTGGGGTTGGTGCCTTTATATAGGCATTGTTTGGTTTGGGCCTCACGCACTACATCCGAGATTTCCGAGAGGTCATGCCTAACTGGTCTGAAATCTTTGGAGGTAACCGCCATGCACATTGACCATCCTCCAGAACATTCGATACGTAGGCCAACTTTCGAGAAACCTGGGAGCGTCAGAATATGCATATCAGTGGGCTTATACCTTTAATGTCAGCTATGGTCCAACCTAGTGCAATCTTATGTTCTCTTAATAGATTTATCAATTTCTCATCCTACTCAGCACTAAGTTCAGAGATATTATAACAGGAAAGGTATCACCTGGTCCCAAAAATGCATGTTTCAATCCTTCAGGTAGTGGGGATAACTCCACTTTGGGTGTCTCCACAGAAAATGGCTTTAGTTGGTCTCTCTCACGTGGCAACTCCTCAAAGCATCTTCTTCTTATCTTGCATATCATTAGGAATAGAGGAAACATTAAAAACATCATTAACAGGATAAAACAAAAATTCAGAATTCAAATCAGAATCACAGAGGAGATATTCTAAAGATTCAAAATTTTCCCTTTCATCTACTTCCTCTGTAATGAAAGAGTCTATCATGTAGGTATGATAGCACTCGTCCTCGTCATGAGGTTGTTTCCCAACATGAAAAATATTCACCTCAAGAATCATATTCTCAAATGAAAGCTTCATCAAACCATTCCTACAATTAATAAGAGAATTGGCTATAGCAAGGAATCAACTTCCTAAAATAAGTGGAATCTTCGATTCACTGTCAACTACAGATTGAGTATCTAAAACCAGAAAATCAATAGGATAATAGAATTTATCAATTTGAAGCAAAATGTCTTCCACTATCCCCCTTGGTTTCCGAATAGAACGGTCAGCCAACTGTAACACCACGGGCGTGGGTTTTATCTCTCCAAGACCTAACTGCAAGTAAACTGAATAAGGCATTAAATTTACACTTGCTCCTAGGTCCAAGAGAGCTCGACCGAACTCTTGTGTCCCAATATGGCAGGCAATTGTGGGGCACCCTAGATTTTTGTACTTTTGCGGCGTTCTCTGCTCAATCACCGCACTTACTTGTTCTGTCAAAAATGCAGTTTTATTGACATGGTGTCTCCTTTTTATGGTACATAGATCCTTAATCACCTTAGCATAAAATGATACTTGCTTAATCACATGCAACAAAGGTATATTAATCTTAAATTCTTTCAAATGTTCCAAAATCTCACCTTGGTTGTCTAAAATTTTCCCTCTAGATCTGAGAGCTTGGGGAAAAGGCACTTGGATAATAACCTCCTTTTCAGGCTCTTTTGAGGGGGCATCTTCAGTTCTACTCAAAGTGGTGACATTTGTGCAAGGTGGGCTTGGCAAAGGCCCATCTAAAACCTTACCACTACGAGTAGTAATGGCGTGGACCCCCTTGATGTTCTCCGGATCAGAGGTGGATCCCTGTACCATATGTGACCCCTTCGGATTGGTTTGAGGCTGAAATGGAATTTTGCCTCTCTCTTGTATAGTAAGAGCATTGGTAAGCTTAGTTATCTGACTCTTGATACCTCCATAAATGCTTAAAGTGTTTCCTCTAAATGATTCCTATTCGGTCGAGCATTGTTTTGAGGTGCAGGATGAAATCTGGATGGTTGCGCCTCTACACTCCAATTGTTGTTGGATGATGTGGGTTAGTTCTGATTAGCCTTCCAACTAAAATTGGGATGGTTCCTTCAGCTAGGATTATTGGTCTCTGAATAGGGTGAGAAATGTTTCCTATACATTCCTAAGGCGTTACACTGTTAAATATGAGAGCAATACAAATAGAAATCGAGCCTAATGAGAAAGACTGTTCCCCAAGAAAAGAAGTTTGTCTTTTGAATTGACGGAAGACTTTATTGTACTGAGTTTTCTTCTTCAGATTTTTTTTTCTATTTTATTTTTGATAATGCAAAGTAGGGAAAGTGCAGAGTTTCTCACATAACTAATATTACACATGTTATTCCAGAGGCTTCACATAACATAACATGAACTATCTCCCCTTCTCTTTTTTTTTTCTTTTTTTTTTGGAAATTGACTAATATCACCCTTCAACTTATCATCCAAACATTCCTCAAACCAAGTAATGTCATTCTAAACAACTAACCAATTCAACAGATCAATAAAAGTTCATAAGTTGTTTTCTCAACTCTCTACTCACTCACAAAATATGTGTGAGTCTAGAAAAATGTGCGCTTAAACATGACAATTCTCTTAGCTATATATATTGAACATCCATCTAACTACAAAGCTTAGTATTGTGCGCAAAAAGTTTTCAGAAGTTATTCTTTGATAATCAAGATAGAAAAGTGACTTAAATCAAACAACTTTGAAATCATACCTAGATAGAAGAGCAGAAAATCCAATTAAGATTCTCAAGCATTCAATGCAAACTTATTCACACTAAGACTACTAGAATAAAAACAATAAGTGTTGGTTGTCTCTCTTTCACACAAGAAGAATGTATATAAAAAGTGTGCATATTATGTGCATGCAATGCTACCACCCCTAACCTGAATGAGACAGTGTCCTCACTGGCATAAAAATAAAAGAAATAACAAAGCAAAGGGTAGGGGACACCTGAGCGATGGACTGAGACTAGACCTGCAAATTTATCAACTAGAAGAAGGAAACACAAAAACTAATAAAAGAACAAAAACAATTAAAAGAAAAGAAAAATAAAAGTGGTAGTGTAGAAAGATAGAACTTGATTAAGCATTGTAGACCGGAGCTACAAGAGTGATCTCCTCAGGTTGGTCTACCCTCTCCACATAATGCTTCAACTATTGTCCATTGACTCGGAAAACTCTCCCATCGGTCAGATCCTCAATCTCAACAGCACCATTAGGAAAGACTCGCTTCACCACAAATGGACGTATCCATCTAGATCTCATCTTTCCGGGGTGGAGATGCAAATGGGAATCATACAGATGCACCCGTTGGTTTGGCTCAAAATTCTTCCTTAGGATTTGTTTATCATGAGCCGCTTTTAGTTTAGCCTTGTAGATCCTAGAATTATCATATGCATCATTCCTCAGTTCTTCTATCTCTGACAACTGTAACTTCCTTTGAATGCCTACAACATTTAAATCAAAATTAAGTGCTTTGACAACCCAATAAGCTTTATGCTCAAGCTCTACAGGTAAATGACACGCTTTCCCATAAATGAGTCAGTATGGTGACATCCCAAGGATAATTTTGTAAGCATGTGACTTTATCTCAAGCCTACTCATTGGTTCACAATGAAGAGAGTAGGAAGAAGGTTATGTTATTTTTTCAGCCTACAGAAACAGCCTTGGAAGCAACAAAATCTAAGGTTGGAGGGGAGAAGGAAGACAAAAGAGACATTTTTTGTGATCATTACAAGAAGCCTAAACACACTAAGGACACTTGTTGGAAGTTTCATCATCACCTAATGCCAACGAGACTTAGAAACAAGAAGGGGAGTGTTAATGTGGCAACTACTGTAGACAGTGCATCTTCTTCCAGCACAAGGACCTCATCCTTGGATGCTTTAGATGTTGTCTGGGCTGCATTGACATAGCTAGAGAATGAAGTTGGTATTTTTGGAACCACATCTCAGCCTTTAGGTACCACATCTGCTCATCCTACTTCAGCCCTTGCTCACACAGGTACAAGAGCTACATCATGTCATACTTATGCCCTAGGTAACACTATACCATTTTAAGTAATAGATTCAGGTGCTTCAGACCATATAACCAATTTATCTACTTTGTTTACACCTATTGTTTATCCTCTAGAAGAGACAAAGTATCTATTGCTGATGACTCCCTTGTGCCAATTTCTGGCAAGGGAGACATCAGACTATCTGATGCCATCTCCCTATCCTTAGTTTTTCATATTCCTAAGCTTAGTGCTAACTTGCTTTCAGTTAGTGATATTACTAAGAATCAAAATTGTTCAATAACCTTTTTTCCTGATCGTTGTGTTTTCTAGGATCTAGAAACAAAGAAGGTGATTGGGATTGGCCGTGAGACGAATGGAGTCTACCTGCTTGAACATCCACAGGGAAAGCAGAGTGAAGTTGGGAAATTGTTTGTCTCTCAGTCTTGGAGTTAGATTATGCTTTGACATAATTGATTAGGTCATTTGTCTTTTGGGTCTTTGAAGAGTCTGTTTCCAAATTTATTTGACTTAGTCCAAGTGTCTAGTTTGAAGTGTGAAAGTTGTGAACTTGCAAAACACTATAGATCAACTTATCCTTTAAATAATAAAAGAAGCAGCATTCCTTTTGAAATTGTGCATACAGATGTTTGGGGGCCATATCATACTTCCACCATGGGGGGTACAGATATTTCTTGTTATTTGTTGATCATTATACCCGCTTCTCATGGTTTACCTTATGTACTCTCGAGATAAGGTCCTTTCTCTGACCCAGGCTTTCCATCAGATGGTTCTAACCTAGTTTGAAACCAAGATCAAAATTCTTAGATCCGATAATGCCAATGAGTACTTTGCAAAGCCACTGGCATCATATCTCCTAGATCATGGGGTTATTCATCAAAGCACCTGTCCTCGTACACCTCAGCAGAATGGGGTTGCTGAGAGAAAAAATAGACATATCTTAGAGGTAGCCAGAAGCATCACGCTCAACTCTAATGTTCCCATACGCTTCTGGGGGGATGCAATCCGTACATGTGTTTACCTTATTAACAGGGTTCCTTCACGGGTTCTAGACATGAAAACACCATTCAGCCTTCTGTATCCAGACAATGACCTGTTCACTATTCCCCTCAAAACTTTTGGGTGTACTTGTTTTGTTCAAATCCTTGAACCTTATCGCTCCAAGTTTGATCCCAAAGCTACTAAATGTATTTTTCTTATGTATGCACAAAATCAAAAGGGATATTGTTATTATGAGCCTGTTTTAGGGAAACGTTTTGTGTCCATGAATGTCACATTTTTTGAGGATATGCCCTACTATCATAGGGCTTCTCCTCAGAGGGAGAGTAGTGAGGAAGGGATTTCAATTTCAGCCCCAAAAGTCCCTTTACTTGTCCTAGTTAATGAGGGGGAGTGTCATGAAGAGGGTTGTCAAAAGTGTAGGGAATTGAGTGTATCACAGATAGTGGTGGAGGCAGGTTGATTTCCGTCCTCAGCAGCAGTCCAGGTTGGTCCCAATATCTTCTACAGCCCCAGATCTAGACACTACCATTGCCTCCATTGTTAAGCCCATTATAGCAGATACTTTGCTTGACACTGTTGATCCTTAGCCTCCTCTTTCAGATGACCTTGATCTTCCAATTGCAATTCATAAAGGGAAGCGTCATTGTACCCCATCCATTGCCCGTTGTATCTCCAAGTTTCTTTTCTATGATTGTCTCTCAGAATCCTAGAGATCTTACTTGGCATCTATTGCTACTATTCCTACACCTAGAATAGTGCAAGAAGCTCTATTGATACTTGAGTGGAAGGAAGCAATGAAAGCAGAGATGGATGCTCTTGTTAAGAACAACACATGGGAACTAGTTAATCAGTTTGAGGGAAGAAACCTATTGGATGCAGATGGGTGTTTATTGTGAAATATAATGTTGGTGGTTCTATAAAGAGGTATAAGGCCAGATTGGTTGCAAAGGGATTCACACAAACATATGGCATAAACTATATGGGAACCTTTGCACTAGTTACAAAGATGAACACTATCAGAGTCCTACTATCCATTGTTGCGAACTTCTCATTACCACTATTTCAGATGGATGTTAAGAATGCTTTCCTCAACGGAGACTTACAAGAAGAGGTATACATGGAGTTACCCCTTGGTTTTTATAGTACAGAAGCAAGAAGGAAAGTTTTCCTATTGAAGAAGGCTTTTATATGGGCTGAAACAATCTCCGAGAGCTTGGCTTTATAGGTTTAGACTGGCTTTGGGCAAATTTGGTTACATACAGGCTCAGTCAAATCACATTCTCTTCTTTAAGAAGATAGACTCTTTCTTGACCTTATTTGCTGTCTATGTGGATGACATTGCGATAAAAGGGAGTGATACTAGTAAGATTAAATCTCTTCAACATCTTCACAAGGAATTTGAAATGAAGGACTTAGGGGAACTACACTATTTCCTGGGAATTGAGGTAGCTCGATCTAAGCATGACATTTTTATCTCTTAGAGAAAGTATGTTCTTGATTTATTGGAGGAAACTGGAAAGTTAGGAGTGAAGCTTGTTGACACACATATTGAGATGAACCATAAAATAAGTGCAGAAAGTGGAGAACCTCTTGAGGACAGGGATATGTATCAAATGCTGGTTGGGAAACTACTTTCTCTTTGCCAAACTCGACCAGATATTTCATATGATGTCAGTGTTGTTAGTTAGTACATGCATTCTCCTAGGACCACTCACCTCCTTGCAGTAGAAAGGATACTTGTTTACTGGAAGAGATGTCCAGGGAGAGGCATACTCTTCAAGAATACTGGTCACATGAAAATAAAAGTATATATAGATGCGGATTGGGCTGGATGTGTTGATGACAGGAGGTCTACCTCTAGGTATTGTGCATTTGTGGGGGGAAACCTTGTTTCCTAGAGAAGCAAGAAACAAAATGCTGTTGTCCGCTCCAGTGCAGAAGCAGAATACTGATCCATAGCCAATGGTGTTGCAAAAGTGTTATGTCTGAAATCCTTGCTTAATGAGCTGAAAATTGATTATGAGAAATCTCTGGTGTTGTATTGCGATAATCAAGCTGCAATTAATAGTACTCACAACCCAATATACCATGACAGGACTAAGCATATCGAGATGGACAAACATTTTATCCGAGAGTGAGTTGCATCTCAAGAAGTGTGTTTCCCTTATATTGCCTCAATCATGCAGTTAGCTGATCTTTTTATTAAAGCAGTCACAAAAAACAAGTTGGAGACATATTTATGCAAGTTAGGAATGACAAATATCTACTCCCAACTTGAGGGGGAGTGTAGAGAGAGTTAATAGTTTTAGTGTGTGTGTGGTTTCAGCCCCACACTTATTTTTATTTTGTTTATTTCTTTTCTTATTACAGCTGGACTGGATGGGCCTTGTTTATTATTTGCTTTATTAGTCTTTTATTTTAAGTAGGGGTATTAGAGTAACTCTTACCTTTGTAAGGATACAAATATATATATATATATATATTTTGAATTACATCAGACCACAGTTTTGTTCTATTTATTTTTATTCAAGTACAACCAACATGAGACCTTACCATTGGTTGGCACCTTTCATTAGAATAAACACTTATTTTTAAAATAATCACTCCCAAACTCTGCCTAAGAAATTTTTTAATAACTTTCTCTCAACTTTCCATTTCTCTTATTTTGTATCAAAACAAACACAACCTAAGGGGTGATTAATTTAATAGTAAAACCCAAGGGGGAGGTACAAACTCGATGGAATGTAGGATCCCATAGTAAATTTGATTGGAGACCATATTAGCTGAACACAATGGCTGTGAAACCGAATCACCAATAGTAATGGCCCATATCAGTCATAAAATACATATAACCCACAACCACTCAATCTCTCACTTAGGATATCGGACATGGGGCATTATAATTAGTTCCACAGTCCACACCCCACTCTACAGCCACTGTGTTCAGCCAATCTGGATTTATTTGATTGACATTCCTAACAAAGATTTGCAAGGTAATCTGTCATTCCTACTTGTTCGCCCTTCCATGGATGTGCTTGGCCACAACTGCATTGTGATATGCTCTTTGACTATGTTGAGGATGCCTTCCATAATCGTCTGGATTTTCAATTGGCCTTTTCTTTTCTTTCTTTTTTTAATGTTTTCAGCTTTGTAACTTCCTCGAACATGAAACCATTATAATAAGTTACTGTGCATCAAAATCCAATTTATAATGAGATGACCAATGAATAAATTGAGTCTCTTTCAGCCTTGTCACTCCCTCGAACATGAAACCATTAGAATGAGTTTTTGTGCATCAAATTCCACATCATAACGAGATAACCAATAAACAAAAGGTAGAGTCTGAAGTCTTTCGTGATGATGTTTCTATTATTTTTATAGAACCCAAATGATAGTGGAGATTATTCTCAGAAGGAACCTCATGCTATGTTCGGTTTTGATGATGCCCATTTATGCTGCCCAATCCCCAGCCACCACATGTTCTTTAACAGAACACCTAAGGAAACTCATTACTGACTCGAACGGCCTGGCCATCGACCCAACCAACTGGTCTCAACCGAATGCCTCCCACACACTATAATCTCAATAAGAACGATTATCGATTCCTTGACGAGCATGACACCTCCTCTATAAATAGGTGAGACACTCCTTAAAAAGGTATGCACACTATAACCCCTGTTCTGCCTCTACCTTGTCCTCCTGCTTTCATTGTTGACCTAGCCTCTTTTGCTCAGTATGGCTACCTTTTGTTCACTTACTACCTTGATCATAAAAAATTTCTCCCCGGAGGACACACCTTGGGGCTCTTTGACATTCTTGTAAGCATATTCGGAAGCAACTTGGTTTGCATGACCTCCTTAGCTCATCTGGTTCCTGAAATTCTCTCTCTCCCTCTCATTAGTTGCTAGGATTTTGACCGCAACAGGTTTGATAGAAAAAAGAGAGAAACAGAAAATTGAAAGAAAGTTCTTAAGGATTTTTGAAAGTGATAAGCATATTCCTATCACTTTAAAAGGAAAAAAAATTGCTTGTTTTGCCATCCACATCCACAAATAGGTGAAACACAAGTGAAGATAATGGTAGTATCAAGTTTATCGTCCTGATCTGGGACAAATGCTGTCATGAGTGGAAAAAGCTTGCCAACAAAGCTGCCCTTGCTAGAGTTGTAGTTCTCTTCTTGGCAAAGGATCTAGTTCTTGGACTTGCACCCATAGAGGTGGGATGGCAACCTCAATCTCTCAAGTCAAGCTTAAGAATTAGAAAGTACAGTCATACCTGTTTCTTTTTACATTGATAAGAAATATGTCTTCACTCCAACAAAAACCAAAAATGTAGAAAACTATTATTATGATTTAGGTAATACTAAAAAAAAATACAACATAAAGTTGTAAAGTTTGCTGATGCATATTATATCAATGTTTTAAACTCTTGTTGACCTGGGCAGTTGAACTGTTAAACCTGTCACTCGGAAGTAAAATCAGATTGATTCAATTATAAACCCATAAAATCCTTAAAACCTGTTGACCTAGGTGAGCGAACCGTAAATTGTTTAACCTGTTAACCATGCAATGCTTCAACCAACTGTATAAAAAAGAAAAGAACAGATGGGGAGAATGGAAAAACAAACAAAAACAATACAACAGAGGGAAAAATTGGTTGGTTGCTGCAATATATACTTAAAAAGTGAAAATTGTAGCAGAAACAATCACATGTTTATGAGAAACTTTGAAAGAACAACAAGGTTGAGCAATTGGTGAGAAGGAGAGAGAGAGAGAGCATGCTGACAATAAACAACATTAGCGGAGGTAGAGAGAGAATAGACATCACTAGCAGAGAGAGAGAGAGAGAGAGATTACCGCTTTACCAATGGCAAGAATGCTAATCGGTGGCAGTGGTTACCTCTTCGTTCTTTCTTCTCATTCTACAAAAAGTATAAACGATGAACTTTGACCTAATATTCTCATTGAAGGGTTTAGGATGTTTATTGTTTCCATCCAAGTGCTGTATGCCTGTATCTATTTTAGTGGGTTGATTTGTACAACCCAGTGGCCCATCATCCGGACAAAAACCGGATCAGTCTCCAGTTTCGTTTTTAAAACATTGTATTATATGACTCATGTCATGACTACCCTTAATAAAAGACCTCTCGAATCCAAAAACTAATAACTCAAGATGCATCTATTTCTGCTATGTTTATTAGTGAGATAATTAATCTAGTTGTCCATGATCTGAAGGCTCTTGTAGCGAGAGCCCAGTAGGGTATAAATTATTGGATGATTAATGATTCCCTCTCTCAATACAGAATCAAACTTGTCAAACAGCATTGTCACAAGCATGATAATTAAGAACTGTAAACTTCCTAACTCCTATAAGACTGTGTTTGGTTTGACATAAAATAAGAGAAAATAGGTAAGTTGAAGGAAGGTTTTTAAAGAAATTTCACAACAAAATTTGTCAAGGACCTACTGTGTTAACTTTCTGTTTCTCTCTTATTTCCGAGTTGAGATCTTCTGCCAACAAAATATGTTCCAACCCTCTACTAACTAGATCTAACATCGCACATCTCACTATGAGACTGAGACCCACCATAAAAGTGGGACCTGCCATGAATGAGATGTGCAGTGTGAGATTATGATGGTAGAAGGTTGGAACATGATTTGTTGGCAGGTGATCTGGACTCCTTATTTCCTATCAAACCAAACATAGCCTAAGAGAAACTCGAAACCTCCAATGATGGAAAATAGTCAAGTTCCATGTCTGCATATATAAACTTCATAGAATAACTCAATAAAGACAATTTAAAGCATTTTAACCTTTTAGCAGTTACTTCTCATTTCTTAATCTTCTAGTCAATCAAGTATGGCTTTTGAGTTTTGACCTAGGGCTGAATAGAGATCCAGGAGAAGTTAGTTGGCATAGTTTCATAGAGCTTGTGGATAAAGACAAGGCCCATGGACCTATTATCTTAGAATGTAAAACTCTCATTTAAGTCATTGCAGATGATAAACAATTGCTAGTAATGCAACATCACATCTGTTACAAGTATATCTTTAGCTTCTTAAAGCTTAAAAGCCTCCAATCCTTGCCTATTTGAATAAAACACTACCCCAAGTTCTAATTACTTCATAATGTTTTTTCTTACACCTCATTGGGGAATAGTTTTCCACCATAAATAGGTAGACATGAACTTCACATAAATACAATACCTTCAAGCTTTAACGTTCCCATCTCATAAGAATGAAGTAGATAGCTCTTGAAAAAAAATAAAAAATAAAACATTTCCAATCTTAGTTAAAATCATCAAAGATTAAAGGTCCAATTTCTAACTTCAACCACCTTCAAATGACTAGAAAGAGAGATTCTGAAATATTTGGTCTCACAATGAATCTGCACCATAGGTTAGTTGATTTGGGAGCTTGTATTATGAATACATTCTTGATAAAAATGCAACAACAGTACAGAAATCACCAAAATCAAAGAAGATTACTGAAGTCGCCACATGAACAATGGCCATTACTGAATTTGTGAAGTCGTTTGCTGTCCCTAATGACAATTTTCCTTCCAGTAAATACTGAGATGAACTTAATAAAACTATGACAATCCCTACACATACTAATATTCTTGATAACCCGTACATGTGCACCTTTTGGCATGTTTAATAAGCCAAAAGCAATGGCCAATCTTTCACTGTGATGTACAATAGAAGAAATTATCTTCTCATCATCTTCTTCATCTACTATTTCTAAGCTTCTTTTGGAAACATATCCCAGGTTTTTTGCTTTGGCAAGCAAGTCCTCCAATAAATCATATGCCTGTTCACTCTGAGCAAATGATTTATCATCAGGTAGAAAGGAATAAACCTTATCTTTAATGGAAATCCAGCTGCAATCCTTCAATCGTCCAATCTTCTCATCTCTCATCATTTTTCTCACCCTCGAGACATCCTTCCATCTCCCAGCCGAGAGATACATGTTTAACAATAAGACATAAGTCTCAGCATCTTTGGGCTTAAGTTCAAGTAACCTTTCAGCAGCATAAAATCCCAACTCCATATTCCCATGGCTTCTACAGCCAGCTATCAAAATTGACCATATAACCTCATTAGGTTCAAAATCCATTTTCTGGATAAAATCAAAAGCTTCATCTAACCGTCCCAACCTCACAAACATATCGATTAAGCATGCATAGTGGTCCATCACAGGATTGATCCCATACTCATTCTTCATTATCTCGAAGTAACTCAGTGCCTCCTTTACCATCCCAGCATGGCTACAAGCTGAAAGAACACCCACAAAAGTAATCTTATTTGGTCGGACCCCTGCCAACCTCATATCCTCAAAGAGCTGCAAAGCCTGGTAAGATCGACCATGCTGCGCAAAACCTGTGATCATTGAAGTCCATGATATCAAAGTTCTTTTGGACATTTCCACAAAAGCTTTGCTTGCCCTTTCAATGCTTCCACACTTGTTATACATGTTTACCAGTGCACTTCCCACAACAACATCTGACAAGAACCCAGTTTTCATGGCCTGGGCATGGATTTGTTCCCCTTGTTCCAAGGCCACCATATTACTACATACAGTTAAGATACTTGAGAATGTGAATAGATCAGGTTTCGTGTTTGATCGGTTCAACTTGAGAAAGATGTTTAGTGCTTCTGTTCCACTATGGCGAACTGGTATATCATCTTTTGCACAATTCATCATCTGGGCATGGCCTGCAATCAGAGCATTCCAAGTGACCAAACTAACAGTCTTCATTCCACTAAGTGATTTCTGTGCTCCATCAATCCATCCACATTTCAGATACAAATACATAATAGAGTTTTTGATGGGTAGGTTTGATTCATAGCCAAGTCTAATACTCAACGAATGGATCTGCTTCCCAACACCCAAAGTCTGTATTATGCAACACAAGCTTAAGACACTAGTAAGTGTGAACTCATTCGGTCTAGTATCTTCTGAAAGCATCTCAACAAAAAATCTCAAACCCATCTCAGCTTGACCATTATCACCACAAGCAGATATAGCCGTGGTCCATGAAATGGTATTCTTCTCTGGGACCCTTTTAAAGGCTTTAACCGCAGACTCGAGGTTGCCACATTTTGAATACAAGCTACAAAGTGAGTTCCCCATACTTGTATCATATTCAATCTGGTACTTAATAATATACCCATGGACTTGCTTCCCTAATTCAATAGAATACAATGATGAACAAGCACTTAGAACAGCCCCCAACGTGTAGTTTGTAGGATAAGCGCCAGTTTCCAATAATTCCTGGAAAACCAGGATGGCAAGTTCAGGTTGTGAATTGTGAACGTAACCTGTTATCAGAGCCGTCCATGTCACAACATTCCTCCGAGGCAATTTGTCAAAAATCTTCCGGGCAGCTTCCATGGTCCCACATTTTGCATAGACATTAATGAGGAATGTCATGATAAATAAATCTTCATAAGTTCCAGTCTTTATGATATGGCCGTGGATGATTTGGGCGTCTGAGACTGAATTCTCGTCTATGCTTTCTTGCAAGAGAGGAACATAGAATGCCGATTCGATCTTGGTGCCATCTTTCAAAAGAGAAAGTGCTTCTTTGATGTCCATACATGATGGATCAGGTTTTTGATCCGATTGGGTGGTAGTATAACTTTTATGATGGGAGACGCTCCGACTCTGAAACTCAAGACGTAACCCAAAATAAGAGATAAAGAACGAGTAAAAGATTTTATCACTAATGCAAATAGCGAAGCATGTTCAATCCAATGTACAATATTAACTGAACATGCATTCAAGCTGAACCCATGAGTATTTGCGAATTCGATAAATTTGTTTAGAGAGAGAGAGATATCCCAAGAACCAATACAGAGCTTATCAGAGTTCAATAAGCTCCATTAAGTGTCACTGATGACTCAGAATTTAGCCTATCGTGTGCTATGTACAATTGGGCACAACAGAAGAATTGAGTAACATAAGATGCACATATAAACAAAATTCTATAAACCTTAAAGTTTTGACAACCAATTATGCAGAACTCGGATCATGTTCTTCTGAAAAAATTCTGTATTTTCTTTGATTTATTAATCGATGTTGAAATAAATTCAAAGTAATGTAAATTCGCTAACCTTTTCGCTTGCAAGGGAGCTTGGGGAATATTTCCTGAACTCGGGTTCGAACTTGAGAGAGCCCGTCAGAGCGACAGAAGGCAGAGACGCCATGGAAGGTGGAAAAGGCGAGGCAATAGATAATTACGTTATCCAAATCTTTTTTTCTCGTTTTATTATCTGTTGCTGGTCTATGAGTCTATCTGAAAGTACGTTATCTTCATTTGTAATGATTTCGGGATAAAAAATCAGAGAAATTGTGGAGGGAAGAGAAGGGAAGTTTTTCATTCTTGTTGATCGTCGGAATTTGGGAATCCGTTAAACACAGTCCACAGGCCCAAACTCGACCACCACTGACACCCAGGATCAGGATATTCCCGAAAGTAAGGATTACTGGATTAGCCCTGTGACGTAGCCACAAGCCACGTAGGATTGTGGGTGACAAATAAAAAATTTGTTTCATGAGCTCTCTGTTCACTCTATGCCAGTATGCCTCATTCTGCCAATGAATATGCGCCATGTGTGATGATCTCATTTGACGGAAATGGTCTCACTGAATAACTCGTGGAAGCCCTGCCGCACCTGTCATAGACACGGTTAAGGGTCTGTTTGGGAGGGCTTATGTGCTTGATTGAGCTGCGTTGATTGAACCCCTTTTGGGAGTTGCATTAAATTGACCCTGTTTGGGAAGGCTTCTGCGTTGGGGTGAGTTGTGTTGATTGAGCTGTGGTTGCTGGGCAATTGTGTTCCGGACAAGCTACGTGGAGTAACTTCAGTTTACGGTAGTAGTTGTGTTTGGAATGTCAATATTGACTTCTTCAGATTTTTACCAAACAGTTTTTATGAATTTCGTGTGATTTTCAGCTCAGAATGCGAGAAGCAGCCACGTCCATTGTCCCAAAAGCCCTACCAAACGGGCACTAAATTCAACAAAATGAGTGTCGAGACCTTATTTCTTATTTGGGACTCCCCACATAAGAGACTGAGAGCATTAGCATTCTCATGAATTTCATGATCAAAACTCACGTTTAAGCGCGTCTTTGAATTTTGTTGAGACTGATGGTCACTCGTACCTTGAATTTGGTCTCTCGGGCTTTTCATTAAAGTATTGTTTATAGGCTTTCTGGGTAGTACCCCACGGGCCCACCTCACATAGCCAAAAGCCACAACGTGAAAGCTCTCCCCAACAGAGAAACTGTCTACCGGCAAAAACTGCTTTAAGCCTTTAACCACGTTCGGTTCAGCCGTTCAGCCCCAAGGAGGATGTGAAGCTACACCGTTTGCTGGTCCAAGTGATAGCTTTTAGAGTTTTAGTTGATGATGATTTACCAGCAGACAAGATACGCATCTGAAGGTCCAGTTTCCATACTTTGGCCACACAACAATCTGTGGCTTTTGCACGGAACGAACTAGTTGGACTCTGCACGAGAATACATCAGGCACAAGAATGCAGTTCACCTTCAATACATTCTGACCTCAATATGAATTTCTTAAATTACTTCATCGACCCTTTTCAAAATATTAACATTTCTAAAATATTCATGAATGTATAATTCACTTTCGTCAGATTGCGATTGGATTGGAAGGCCGAATAGCAATAACAGTGACCCAGCCCCTAGGGTGGATGTTGAGATGCCTGCCTAAGTTTTCAAAAATGTTGACCAGATCGAAATCCCCTCAAATATTCATGTTATTATATGTTATATCTTAAATAGTTGTTGTTTTGATATAAAAAAAAAAGGTTTAAAAGATTATTTTCTATAAACCAAAGATCTTCCGAAATCAAGGCTGTTTATATTGCAGACCATCAATCAATTTATGTATAAACATGGATTTAAGAATATGTAGTGCAAATGTTTTGCTTGATTTTATAGCTGCAAGCTCTGCAATTTTTTCATCCTTGAAATTATATTTGGTTATAGGCACATTTGTCTTGCATTCTGAATCACATTCATTCATTCAATACAAGATTAAGAAATAGTTACTGCTACTTGTTCAACTCACTGCAAAAGCATGAGAAACATTTAAAGCAGAAGTATATGGATTTAAGATTCATAATAGAACTCAAAATTTTGTATCTTAGTACATAGACAAAAATTATGCCAATTTGCATCCCTGCTAAAAAGGATCGGCATACTTAATTGAACTTTGTTGAGTACAAGAATTAACAAATTATTTCTACCTTTGTTATACCAGCAAATTACATGTGCATTATTATAAAAATGACACTCCACCTGAAGATACTCTGAGAAATCAAGGCTCTATGGTTGTTATTCCGTGCAGAAAATTAGAGGCACAACACTTGCAATAACATCATCTAACATTATGGCCAAAGAACAAGAATAAATACTATTTAATGGGATAAATCCACAAAGGATAATGGTCCTACATTCAACAAAATATGTTGTAAGAATCCATAAACCTTGCATGAGAGCATCCTCGTTTCTTCAGTCCTTGTATTTCATTGTTTCTTTTTTGAAGCCAATTGTTGGAAATTGCTTTGCATACTCCTCAACCTCATGACGAAGCTTTGAAATCTCAGATTGGATGCTAGCACTTGCCTGGATTGTACCCAAAAAGTCCTTCAATTTTGTCCCTGGTCATGAAAACCCATAACAGAGTGCATCTCACATTAGCAATCATCCATAGAAGGCCACATGGGTTCAATGAAGTACATTCAACATTTACAAAGATATCTAGGCTTGTAAATTAGGAACCTTTGGTTTCAGCCTTAATTTTCAAGGCCAACTTCACAGCAGTGTCAAAGAAATCAGCTACTTTTGCAAAATCCTCTTCAACAAATCCCCTTGATGTGAGAGCTGGGGTTCCTGAATCACCATAGATGGAGGTTCATCAAGATGAATTATGCATGGATCAAGCAAGTTCAATCCAATTAAGGAAGAGCACTGTACCCATCCTGATGCCGCCAGGAACCATGGCAGACACATCCCCAGGAACAGTGTTCTTGTTGGCTGCAATATGCACCAATTCCAATACCTTTTCAACTCTAGAGCCATCAATACCCTGTAGAACAGAAGTCCCGTGGTGCTCATGCATTCTCATTTTATGCTAAAAATAATACAATTTCTATTCCAGAGGTTGAATTAAAAGCATATCTAGTATTTTGCTAAAACTATAAAATGACCTGACATCAAGGTTCTGCAGCAGAAGAATTTACCCAAACTTCACTAGTTAATCAAGTACCAATCATAATGGTGCTTGAAGAAGAAAAAGCAAAATCTAAAGAACGTAAATCATAAAAAGATAAAAGGAAGAGTGAACATTGCCTGCTTACCTTGTTTTTAAGATTGACCAAAACCAAATGATTTTCAGTTCCACCAGAGACAAGCTCATAGCCCTTTTCTACCAATCTCTGCAAAATTGGTGCACTAAAGAAGTTCAGTAAACTGCTTATATAATAATCGAACATGAAGTAGCACTTATAATATGCCAAATCAAAAGAAAAGAAAAACCAAAACAGATCACCATGGAGACAGGAATATATATCTTATGCAAATGATGGATGATTCTTGTCAGCTATACCTCAGCAAATTTTGAGCAATTCCTAAGAACTTGTTCTTGATAGGCTTTGTACTCTGGATATGTGGCCTGCATCAATGTATATGATTGTAGTAGATGAATCTACAAAAATGACTAACTAAAACGACACAGATAGATATATAACAAAAACTTTAATCTGTTCTTAAACCATAAATTAAGTGAAAGGATTTGCATAATGACTCCCTTTCAGAACAAGTAAGAAAGAATAGCACTAACCTATATTGATCAGGAACAGGTACAGTAATAACCTACCTAACAGAACACACTCCATATTACATAGACCTGCCACATTTGACAACTCTAATGGACTAAGATGACCCTGCAGCCTATTGACAACCCTTTTTTTCTAGCCTGTCAACAGCCTAAAAGTTCAAAAGGCTGAAGAGTCCTCCAAACTAGACCTAAACGTATCATATTTCAAAGTTAGATAAAAGCTGATATATGACTTGGTTTATTATGAGGACAATGTCATTGATTAACATGATCTGGGTTTCACTTATCAGGAGGGATGCATAGAAAGTAAACTCGGTTGTCCGTGGATGTAGACTAAGCCCTGTGCCAGGCATTTCAAGGCTTTTTTGTTCTTTGTTTGAGTCTGTTTGTCAAGTCTTTGGTTTGTAAGTTGAGTTGTTGCTTATTCAGTTTTGTTAAAGGTCTTGATGTCCGTTTGTTGGGTCCATTGGTTGTGTTCCTCTTTCGGGTGGTATCTTATCACCTTTGTGTCATCTTTCTTTTTCCTTTTTATTGAAAATTTCCGTTTATCCTTCAAAAAGTAATTTAGGTATTTTAAAAGGGAAAATAGAACAGTAAAGAATAAAACAAGAAAAAGTCACTCTTCATTAACCATACACCTCCAAATAGGCCAAAAATCATTTATTAATACAATACCTGCTTTAATGCAACTGCTAACCCAGAAATTGTGTGATTGTGTGGACCACCTTGAAGCCCTGGAAAGACAGCCTGGTTGATTTTGTCTTCATAATCATACAAGACCTTCAGGATTGAAAGGAAAATATTATTTTATGTTGCAGACTCAGATTCATTAAAGAAATGAAAGATGCTGCAAAAGTTGGCAAAATGTTCCAAAGTTAATTCCAATGAAGAAAAACATAGCCAAGTGAAACTACAAAAGTGGCTCCTTTATAAAATTCACCTCTTTCCCTTGCTTGTTAACCTCTTTGACACCCTTCCTGAAGAAGATCATGGCCCCACGTGGCCCACGAAGTGATTTGTGTGTTGTAGTGGTGACAATATCTGCATATTCAAAAGGAGATGGGATGACACCAGCTGCAACCAACCCACTTATGTGAGCCATATCTGCCAGGAGGATAGCTTTCTGCTTGTCACAGACCTGTCAAAACATATGAATATTGCACCTCAATTGATTTTTCTTGTCCACTTTGTTTTTTCAAGCTGTTAAATGATATGTAAATAAAATTCTAATTTAATGTTGCCTTGACTTTAGTTAATCTAGGATTTTACCTTGCGAATGCGTGCATAATCATAGAGGCGAGCATAAGCACTTGCACCAGCAACAATTAGTTTTGGCCTGAAAAGTGTTGCACTTTTCTCCAACTGTAATTTACAATTTCCCACGAGTCAAAACTCCATTATATTTTAGTAAGAGGTCAAACTATGTGAAGAGTCTTGTATGAAATCAGAATAAATTTTACATCAAGATAACCATGTTTTTGCAAGTGGTAACACAGAAAGTGGATCTTCTAATAAAGCAGTTGCTGTGATAATAATCTCAATCTCCTCCCCCTCGGTTCTACAACACTTGCAGTGCAGACAAAAAGAAATTTAATATGTCCATATGTTGGTATACATGACAAGCCTACAGGAAGCGGGAATGCTCATCTTGGTTAGATATACATTTTATCTTTTGAATTTCTAAATTTTCTGGATTAGCATTTATTGAAATGCATATTTATTTCTATTCTCAAGCTAATTCTCATGAGCTACAGCCTTTTAGGCTTCATCCTTGATCCAAATCAGTCTGAGATTTCCCAAACCGTTCTTTGAAGAGAGTATTCTATAATTGCTTTGCAGGGAAAAATGTGTTTTATTATTCTAAGGAATTTACTTAAATATTTTAGATGTTAGACCATCATTTTCAATAACCACATTTACCCAATTCAATCATCATAATTAGTATGTACAACAATATTACAGCATATCACAAAGCAAATTGTTTTGTCATTAGAGTAGAAATGATGGTCAAGAGAGAAATGAGAAAAAAGTTGGAGGTGGAAAGGTAACATACCTGGTCATAATCAATGTATCCAGTGCTCTCATTTAATCTATATGGCATTGTCTCAAAAAATATAGACACAGCAGATATCTTCTTGGTGTCAGTCTGCATCCAGGGATAAAACAAAGCTTGGAAAATTAGACCACAAGTAGGAATATACTATAACAAAATCTCACTTCAATGAATATATTTAGAGTCACAAGAGATTAAATCCATTCTTACAATATATTTTACAGTAACCTGACTGTTCATATGATGATTATTTGAGGTATTCAAAGCTATACTAAACTTGGAAAATTAGAAGGTAAGTTGTAATTTTTTCCTTTGACCTATTCAAATAGACAACTCCATGCATTGGATGGATTTTCTATTGCAAAGGGAATTTAAGATAAATAAAATTCCAAGAGTTACTTTGATAAAGTTGAAGACTACTACTAAGGGGCCATATGATAACAGCTGACGTAGCTGAACTGAATGACATATTGCTTAGTCATTTAGTGGATATAATAATATAAAAAATATTTAGGGATATAGAAATCAACAATGAATATGGCATTAAACGGAATGGAATGGCAAAACAGGATTCACGCAGCCGACCCTATATAGTAGGGATAAGTCTTAGATGATGATGATAGTAATCAACTAAACATGTCATTCAGACAATAAGGAGCTTGCAACCTACTTAATGGCTTATTCACTAATATTTGGGTAGTTATTGTATTGAACCTCCTTTGGCGATCCTGTAACCCTAAGAAGATTTAAAAGCAAACATTTAGGACATAACAGCTATTGATGAACATTTATCTTCATCAATCTCTAGGAGGTGAACCACTACCTACAAATTTAGCTGGAAAAAAAAGAAAAACTGAAGGAATGTCATAAGCACCTGATAACCATGTGAAAGATGTCCACCATGTGGAAGATCAAGTGCCATAATTCTCTCATGAGGTTTCAACAGTGCAGTATAAACTTGGAAATTAGCAGGAGAACCAGACAGTGATTGCACATTAACTGCAAGAAATAAGTTAAGCTAAACTTTCTGCAAAGGATGCCAATAAAAAAATCACACAACCTACATAACTAGGTAGCATTTGTTAAAAAGTGAAAAAAAAAGAAATCAGGAATTTTAAACAGCCGAATATTATTGAATGCCTTCCCTGGCGGTCAAGCTTTGGATTTAGTTACAATTTGACTTGGCTTTAATTTCAACTAGCAGTTATAATTGGAAACTCATAATATTACGTGTTTAATCCTACTGAGGAGAAAAAGAAAAGAATACTCTAGACATTCAACCAAGGATGGCAGGCAGTGGCATCTTCCTCAGCTAGAAAACCTATATACTTCTTCAAAAACACCCAAGGACATCATGCTGATGAGCTGATCTTTTCCAGCCCCACAGGTGTAACTCTACAAGACTACAAGGGCTGAATTAATGGCTGCTTTCCAAGTTAAGATTGGCAAAAACACTTCACTTTATAGACAGCATAGAGGAAGGGGACTCAAGGACAGTTGAAGGTTGGCTTGAAGGCAACCAACTGGGGTCTTGGATGTATAGATACATGACTAGAGAAGCATTAAAACTGTCAAGGGAGCCACAATCCACATTATCATGGATTCAAAGATCAAACAACAACCTAGCCAATGCATTAGTTAGGCAAGGAGTGAGTAGAAGCAATTTGTATCGGAAACAATTCCCCCATGAATAATGAAAGTACAAATTGAATGAGGGGATAGGCAGCTGGGACTGGCCTATCATATAAAGTGGTGTGAAGCACATTTGTATTCTATTGTAAATCATTCTTGCTCACATATTAATAAAATTTCAAGCTACCAACAAACAAAATCCTTTACGTCTTAAAAAGATAAAAAAAAAATAGTTGAAAAAGCAAGCCAACTTCAACCATACACTTGAATGCCTTGCTTGCAAAAACATATACACCATATGCATTTACCTCCCCATTTTGCAGGATCCAATCGAAATGCTTCCAAAGCACGCTTTTGACATAAGGATTCTGCCATGTCAATGTACCTGGATAGAGTATAAACCATAAATGCACCAAAGAAATAAGTAAGAGGCCATCTGATGGAACAGTCAACATTACAAAAACAAATGAAACGTTGGGGGATGGGTTATCCTCTTACTCGTTTCCTCCATAGTATCTAGCACCAGGATATCCTTCACTATATTTGTTAGTCATGATAGACCCAACAGCTTGCATCACAGAGACAGAAGTGAAGTTCTCCGAAGGAATGAGTTCCAATCCCTTTTGGAATACGAGAAAAAAAAAACAAATAAAAATATCATAGTATAAACTAACTTCCAAATTAAGCGTCACCATAAATACAGGTCAAGAAAGAAGAACCGATCAAACTAAATGCCTAAAATTGAGGTAAACTACAGATATGTAAATCATCTGCAAAGTTTCCAAAACTCAACCAACTGGATGGTCCACATCTACGCGACGTTAAAAAATTTATATAAAAGGACTGAACGATCAATTAAATAAGAAAGGACAGTTAATGTAGCAGAATACCTTCCATTGTCTAGCTTTCTCAAGCTCGATTATATTTGCAATCTCCGGATCAACTTCCTCCAGTGGAGCATTCAACTGTTTTGGCCACTGGAATCAAGTTTTCCAAGTAAGATTTTGGAGCAATAAGAAGACATTAAAACAAGATCAAAAGGACCTAAGCTTGAATCCTAGAGAACTGAAGATCTTGGAGAAAAATAACAAGGATTATACATCGAAGACAAAATTAAATTAAGCAAAACAAAACAAAGAAAAGAATCCATTTGCTTACCGCGACACGAGATTTCTCTTTGTCGTAAACGGCTTCATTAGGCAAAGAAGACTGAAAAGAACAAACATGAAATGATAATTGAGAAAACTTACGTGCTTGTCGGTAAATAAACATGAATTTGGAAGAATAAAGGAAACAGAAACAAACCATGTAATAGAGAGAACCGCCATTGGAGAGAGGACGAATCGACTTCCTGACGGAAGAGGAGAGCCTGCGAAGCGCCATTGCCATTGCCATTGCCATTGCCATCTCCTGCTCTCTCTCTCTCTCTGTCTGCTCTGCTCTTTTCTGGTTGTGTTCCTCAATTGGATTTTGTCTCGGTGTCGGGTGGAGTTGGTGATAGATTTTTTTGTTTTTTTGGTAAAGAGGTTGGTGATAGAATTAAATAAATAAATAATTAATTAATTAACACATATGTGATAAATTTTCTTAAAATCTGTTCCGTTCCCGTCCTTGCTTTTTGAGGTCACATACTCTGCACCTTTGGTGTATGCACCAGCCAATAACAATCCGTCACACCATCTAGAAAATGACTTTTGAAATGTGTACAGATCACTGTCGTGCCACATATGTGGTGCAGCAAATTTTCTACACTAACGGTGCAGAGTATGTGAGTTCCATTTTCTTGGTTATTATAAAGAAGGCGGGTAAGAGAGAACGTGGTTGGTGTCTCACTGCCTTGATGGTGGTTAAAAATCAAAAATCAAAATCACAATAGAAAATTGGAGAAAAAGTCAGGAAAAATGAAAAAAAAAAAAATCAAATAAAGCAAATGGTATATTATCTGTCGGTGTGGGTGGGATGTGAGTTGTGACATTAGCTCTTCATAGAATGATAGAAGATACTTGAGTGGCACGTGCTTAAACACGTGTAAAAGGGAGGGAGCGGATACAGTAATGAGAACTTGTGACATTGCAGGAAGAGAACTTTTCGCATGGTGCTTTGCACATGAAACCAAGGCAAAATACCAATAAAATTTTATGATGATATATATAGTAATTTTTAGGAAAAAAAATATAGTAATGGGCGTTTTGGTAAATATACCTACACCACGACGTTAGTCAATAAGATTGGACTTCAGTGTTGAAATATGAAAAGAGTCACGGAGAATATCTCATCCTCTTTATAGTATTTATGCAGGGCGAGATGTTCCTAATTCAGGGGATGGTGGTGTATTGTGGGTAGGCGTGGGCAGGACTCAGGAGACCCGGAGTCATATGCATGATAGTTTTTGTAATTTAGCCTAATTTTTATAGTTGGTATTTTTCTTTACCCTTTTTCAAGGAAAACATGTAAAGAGAAAAACAGTGTTTGTGTTGGTGGTGTTAATGGAAATGGTTGTATGATGGTGATGGTGATGGTGATGGCCAAAAATCTCATAGCAGCATATGGATGGTAGATTAATTGGCTGTTTTTAGAAGTATATGATTAAAATTGAAGAGTGATATAAATGAGCCAAATGATGGAATTGATCAAGAAAACAATGGTAGAAATGGTGGTCTATAGAGGAGGTTGAATCGCTCTTGTAGAGGTTCAAGTGAATGGATTGATTTTAGTGAAAAAGTTGAGAGGGTGTAAGGGTGCAATTTGGGTAGGTTCAACCTGAGCTGGACCAACCCAGTCCACAATTTTATATGGGCTGGGCTTGGATTTTTTATATTTGGGCTGGGCCTGGGCCCAAGATGGCTTCAGGCTTTTTATTTTTTGGTTGAGCCTGGGGTTGGGGTTGTTTGAACCTAAACTGATGAGGGGTAATTTGGCCCGACCTAGTAAGCAACAAACATGTGGACTCAACCTAGTGACTAGATGTATGATTCAACATTCCCAGCCATCTGGCAGTTCAAACTACACCTCGACCACCCCTAGAGCTATGGAGTTCGGGCATCTCGGGATGATTTAGCTTGCCAAAGTAACGTGTGGCGCACATCCAGAAGCCTGCCAGCCATCTCCGAACACTTCGGGATCATGTCATCATCCTGCCTGAATCGGATGGACGCGATAAGCCTTATCGGCTACCTTGTTATCCACCTTCTGGAGTGGAATGGACTCCTAGGGTTCAAGCCAAAGATCTCGAGAGTGTTTCGTAAGAGCTCTGGCAGCTTATCTATATAAGAGCATTAATCCCCATAGCACAAGGTACGTGCGATTACTTGCTCACTAGCTTACTTGCATTCAAACTTTTAGCTTGCTACCAAAACACAATACTAACTTAAGCATTGAAGCGATCTCGCCGGGTTAGCCACCTCAAGTTCTTTGATATGCTTTCTTGCAATTTGAACCAGCTTGCTAAGCGACTAGCATCCAGGTAACCTTCTAGCTAGGAGATTCCAGATTCACGCACCATCAATTGGCGTCGTATGTGGGAAACGATCAAAAAGCTAACCTTCATACCTTACTATTTTGCTCACTCAATGGCTTCCACAAGCAACATTGTGAAGAGCATTGAGATAACCATCTCTGGGGGACAAGAACAGACTGCGGATAGCCAAGAGTTCCCCACGGTCTTCATCAGCCAGTTCACCATCCCCCTCACTGTCTCGGGGGTCCCTACCATATCGACACAGCAGATTTGGTACCGAACACAGTCGTTGAACGTCCCATTGCCCCAGGTAAGAGCTACCTTCTTTGTGCCGGAGCCCTCTGTGGTCCCTCCTGGGTCGGGCACCTACAATTTGACGAGCTGGTCCAGAGTGTCCGAGCCATGTAGCTATAAGTGCAACAAATGCACCAGTTCCAACAGTATTATTTTTACCAATAGTACCAACAACAATTTCCACCGCTACAACCGAATCAACATCAAAATCAGCACCAGAGTCAGTACCAGAACCAAAACCAGCATCGGGCCCATAATCAGTAGCAGGAGCAACAAGGTGCATGCTGATCTCCTCCTCGGAGTGTGGGAAACCTACAGGTCCCAGTCCCTCTCCGGGACCGGACCCCACCTCAGGGCAGAGTTGATGGTCAACGTACACCCCACCTTCTCAGAGAGGAAACCCGAAAGATAGGCTCGAAGTCAGTCATCACATGATGACCAATCAGCAACAACACTCGCGGCCTGAGAATCGCGAGCCCCAAGTTAGCGACCAACAGCTCAGGGCAAGAGGCGCGGGCTCGCGACGAGACCCCTTTGCCCCCCGTAACAATCAGTATCAAGTTCGCGACCGAGAAGACGCTGGAGGTAGGAACCCACTCCCACCTCGTAACAGTGTTCGGGAGTGGGAACGAACAAGAGTTGAAATATCGGACAACACCGAGGTCAATAGTACCAATGCGGAAGCAGCAAAGAAACAACGACGTCACAAGACACGCTGATCATCAGCTAGGAATAGCCCGCCACCAAGAAGCAGTTAGCCACTGGAACAACCAGCTCTTGCATTGTTGAGTCGGCTCTTCCCCTGTCACCCGAGATACTTGCGGCCCCAAGGCCAAAAGATTTCAAGACGCCTACACTAGAGACGTATGATGGAAAGTTTGACCCTAATGACCATGTCGATGCATTTCAGTCTCAAATGCACCTTGTTGGAGCAGATGAGGCGTGCATGTGCGTAGCCTTTTCCACCACCTTTAGAGGATTAACCAGGCAGTGGTACAAGACATCGCTCCGGGCCCGATCAAGAGCTGGGCTCAGTTCGCTGACATGTTTATTGCCCACTTTGTCACTAGTAAGAAGTGACCGAAATCATAAGAGAGCCTTCTGAATGTGGTCCAGATGGAGAATGAATCAATCCGAAGCTACATCAAGCGCTTTAATGAGGAGTGTTTGCAGATACCAGATCTCGGTCTAGCCGTGTGCCTTACTGCGGTGCAAAAAGGAGTTAAGCACACTGAGTTCACATGGTATCTCAGAGTACACCGTCCGAAGACCATCGAGAAGTTCCTTGACTATGCTAAGAGGTTCATGAGCACAGAAGAAGCTCTCGGCTCAAAGACAAAGATCCAGAAGGGCAAGAAGAGGAAGAGAGAAGATGAAGGATCCAGTAGCAGCAAGTACTGACAGAAGAAGAGCCAGTCACTGAGAATAAGCAAGTCTCCCCGTAAGAAAAGTAAGTCACCACCTCAGGACTCTAGGTTAGGTCGGCGATCTAGGACCCCTCTTGTTGAAATGACCTCCTATACCCCCCTTAATGCAAAGCGAGGTGAAATTCTGATGGCGATCAAGGATTCTTCTTATGTCAAGTGGCCACCCAGGCTATGGGGAGATCCAGTAACCAGAAACCTGAATGTCTATTACCACTTCCATCATGACATCGGGCATAGCACCGAGAACTACCGGAACCTCCACAATGAGATTGAAGAACTAATCCACCGCAGATACTTGAAGAAGTATATCCAACATGAAGGCAGGGAGTCGGTAGACCGCCAGGCAGGCCAAAGAAGAGAAGCTCTGAAGACGAGTAGAAGGAACGATCAGCCACCTCGGTAACTACAACCACTTGAGGACAGGCCGGTCCGCGGGGTGATTAACATCATCACTAGTGGGTCCATTGTTGTGGAGTGCACTACAACAACAGGAAAGACCTCAGTCCAGGAACTGGAGCATGAAGAAGAGAACCCACCGAAACGACCTCGGGTAGAAGAGCTCATCTACTTCACCGAGGACAATGTGTGTGGGATATAGTATCCGCATGATGATGCCCTCATCATCAATTTTGTGATCAACGACTTCGAGGTAAAGCGAATCCTGGTAGACTCAGGGAGTTCGGCGGACATTCTATTCCTAGAAGCCTTTGACAAGTTGCAGCTACAATAGAGTGACATGAAGCCGGCAGATTCACCCTTGGTAGGATTCAATGGAGAAGTAGTTAGGCCCCTCGGCTAAGTGACAGTACCAGTTGTAGCAGGAACATGGCCTAACTCAGTGTGCTTCGAGCACACATTCCTAGTGGTCGCAATTTCGTCCCCCTACAACACAATTCTAGGTCGACCCATTTTGCATGCCCTGTGAGCAGTAGTGTCCACCTATTATCTGTCGATGGAATTCCCGACGAATTGCGGAGTGGGGGTAGTACGAGGTGACCAGCTGGAATGAAAGCAAGTGCTATGTGGCAGCGTTGAAAGGCAAGGCGAAGTTGGCTGAGGATGTCAAACTAGAGCCTCCACCCGACCACACAAAGGAGCAAGCTGCACCTATGGAGGAAACAATCCACGTACCGGTCTCTGAAGCCGAATCAAAGAAGACCCTCCAGATCGGCGCTCTACTAAGCGAACCTCTTAGGTCGCAGCTAGTAAGTTCTCTGCTCAGTAACTTAGATGTTTTTGCTTATTCCGCGACAGAAATGCTCAGTATTGACCCTAGTATAACTATTCATAAACTTAATGTGGACCCCTCAGTTAGGACAGTTAGACAAAGAAA